CAGCAGCAGCAGCAGCAGCAGCAGCAGCAGCAGCAGCAGCAGCAGCAGCAGCAGCAACAACAACAACCACAACCACAACCACAACCACAACCACAACCACAACCACAACCACAACCACAACCACAACCACAACCACAACAACAACAACAACAACAACAGCCATTACAAATTCAGCAGCAACAACACCCACAACAGCAGCAACAACAACAGCAACAACAACAACAACAGCCGCAGCAACCGCAAACAACAAGCCAGATTGGTCAGACAAATACCGGAGTAAGTCAAGTGCAGACACCGCAGACACCAGTACCATCAAATACCCAACAGCAGGGAGGACAACAGCAACCAGGACCAACGACTCAGTCTCAGTCCGGACCGCAACAGCCACAACAACCACAGAATAAAGAATTCAATACAGTCAGTTTATGCAAATATGGACAAGAAACTGTTCAAGATATTGTTAGTAGGGCGTTGGAAGTTTTTCAAACTCTGAAATTGCTTCAGGCACCAATTGGTAGGTCCTTTTTCATCTTTACTCTTTTTTTTGTTTGCAAAAAATTTAATTCCTAGGCAATAATGAATTGTATTGTATTGTAATTCGTTTGTTCAGCGACATCCCAAGGTTCCACCGCTGCCACAGATAAAAAACTGAAAGTTCAGGACCAATTGAGAATGATTAGACTGTTATTTCGCAGATTGAAATTGATTTATGAGAAGTGCAACGAAAATTGTCAACTTCAGGGAATGGAATATACTCATATCGAGAGTTTAATACCTTTGAAAGAAGAGTGGGATATGAAATCTGAGGAAAAGAAGACCTCTGAAGCCTACAGATTAACCTGTATGGAGAGTAAAGATGCAATGGAGGTGAAATATATTTTTAAAAATTCATTCTTAGATAAAATAGAAACTGGAATTTTTCATTTTCCCATTAGTATGCCATTGATTTCTTAATGCACTGATATTTAATTCATTTCATTTTTTAAATTTACAGCAGGTGATTGCTAAGAATCGTCATTTGAAAGATATAATCGATAATTTAAGACGAATTATATCTGAAATAAATACAATGCTGAACATGCGAAGATCCTAATGAACAATTATCTATAAATATATTTATTATTCGAAAAAAAATATACATGATTTTGTATTAAACAATTGAATGGAATTTTGTAAAATTATCGGTTTATATTATTGATATTGTCTACTTCAATACTAATAATGTCTGATGAACGAATAATTGCTCCAGGAATTTGTCCAAGGGGTGTTTGCAAATTTTGTAGGTATATGTCTAGGCAATCCACGTCGCAACCGCGAAATTCTCCCGAAACTTTTGAATTCTCGTATAGATTAAAAGTCACATTTTCACCTGAATAAAAACAAGTCAATGATAGTTTTCCAATTAGATGTGAAAAAAGTTATCAGCATCAAATAGAAAAGGATTTGAGGTTTAAGAACTATTGTGGCTTACCCACGATTCCGGTGACAAATCGAAGAAATCTTTCTCTCAAAAATACTCTGGCTTCCTTCACTTGGGGATTTACAAATTTCGGGGATTGATTATGTAAAGGCTCATGAGATTCACTCCCTGTCATATTAACCTCTTCCCTCATTTTTTTAAGCCAGTATAAGTGTATTTCCTGAAATTTTATATTCTTTACAATGATGATTATCAAGTGCAGAGCGACCAAACAGTCAAAGATACTCATGCGTGTAATCATATGCTTCTGGAGAAAATTAGGGAGAAAAAAATACAAGCCACCTAAAACATATAGTATAACGCATATGTACACGATGGCGCTGCTCCAAACTTTCAACCGGATTTATAAACAACCTAATAACCCACTCATGGAACCAGCGAAACTATTCTTCTATCAGAAAAACAGACTTTCATCTGGAAATTGCATGTGGGTGGATATGAATAATAAAAAAGACCCGCATAACGTAACAATGAAGATTATTCGCACCTTCAAAAAAGTCCTCAGTTCTATGTTCACATGCAGAGACTGACAATGTCGAAGCTAGTAGCGGCAATTTTAATTTTTCTACTCATCAATAATCATCCCAATGGTAATTATAAATCTATGTAATTCAATATCCTCATTCAAAAATTCTTCATTACGTTGTGCACTTGGTCCTGAATATATCTCATTTATACAGATGCTGAAGGCAGAGATGTTGAAGACCCATTGCGACAACAAAACAAAACCAATCAACCATCGTTATATAAAATACCAGAAACAATGGTTTTACTTAAAAATAAAACTTATGTGAACGTGACAAGAAAACCCCGATTCTTATCGGGTTTATCTTTCCTGACTGGTTTAGGACTGGGTAGTATTGCTGGGGCAGCCGCACTCAACGATCCCGCTTTACTTACCGTTGCCAACTATAATATCATCCCCAGATTATCAACAAGCACAACAACAACAACAACAACAACAATGGCTACACCTCCAACGAATTTAGATTTAAATATCAATTCGTCTGATTTTTTTCCACTGGCAAGAGTCCCCGAAGCCAATATTCACAGCTCTAACTATCCGTATGTTCTCGCGTTGTCCACCAATGTCCTTGTAAATAAAACTCTGAGATCTGTGCACCAAGCACTCCAAGAGCTTCAGGCCCAGTTCGAACGTAAGCAGATAGTGGATGATGTGGACGATGTTGAGAATGAGGAACCAAACAATCTGAGCATGTATAGGAACAAGGATGATTATGTGGTGGTAAATTGTACGACACTGAGAGATATCGTCAGAGCATCCATCGCTGAGCAAACTGTAAGCAACTAAATTGAAAATTTTTCATAGCTACTCCATTAATACTCCATTAATATCTAAATTAGAAAATTAACCGTAACTTATTGAATAAAATTTGAAAACATAAAATAATAAAATAATGTTCAAAACATTCATAGGCAAAGGACAACCAAAATTTTTTTAAGCAAGCTAAACCAGTAGTACCAAGTAATACACCAACTGAGCCCCCCCAGACAGATGAAACTACTGTGCAATATTCGACAACCCCTGCAACTGATACAACGACGACAATGGTGACCACAACCCCATCAAACCTTCCGTTAATTCAGCCACAATTTGATGGATACTACTATGGCAGTCAGTCCTCTAACATCTCCGGGGTTGACATAACGTCAGAAATCTATGCTCCTCCAGCTCAACAAATCTACTCCCTTTATCCTCCGGTCTTTGGATCTATTTCATTTTATCCAGATCATCGTCCTGATCATTATGAAACTTATCATGGTGCTAGTAGTGGATTCAATGGGATCAGCGAATCCTATCCTCATTACGAAAATTATGGTAGAAGTAGGAAATTTCCGTCAGCAAGAGAGAGTAAAGATTCCAAGGGTTTTATCCTTACAAAAATATAAGTCCATACGGTTGTATTTTCATTTTTTCAATTTATCAATATTTCAATATAATCCCTTCAAGTTTAGTTCTTTCCCAAACAAATGTACAATTATATTATTAACAATACCAAAGAGGAGAAAAAAAATAGTACTAAGAGTTAAAAAATTGACAAAGAATTGAGATGGATTGCATGTACACCTTAATATTACTTATTGAATTATCATTTCTATATTTTTTCGGAATTATCCATTATAGAATCATATACGTCTATTTTATAGACTTACATTTCGGAATAAATAGATTTTAAAAAACCATCATATCTGCAGTATAATTATTGAAAAAAAAAACTCAAATTCAATCAAAAAAAAAAAACTTAAATACGCCCTATTTTACTTCTCTTATCAGCAATCATTCAATAATGGAGTTTCAACAACGAATGTATATTGTACAAGTGTGGTATTTGCACAATTGCTCGATGGTCTGCGCGATGTGTCAAGTGTTTCGAAATTTTGTCCAATATAATGGATGGAATTTTTATTATTCTAGAAGAATAGTTGAATGCAGATGTAAAAACAATGATTTTACACTATTGTGAAAACAGCAACAAAGAATGGATAATTAAATATTATTTAGTGGAATGGGCGAATAGATTATGTGATATTGACAAAATATCTGCCAACATGCAAAATAGTTGAGTAATTCTGTCAGTTAGTGTGCCAATGAGAAACGTTGTTAATTCCATGGAGAAGTACACTTTATTTTCGGACCACATTGGGGGGAACCTGGGGCTCATCTATTTACAGAATACTGTCTCTAACGTCACTGGACGAAACAGCGACGAGATTCATACTCCATTTTAGCTCTCCTCAATACTAGACAAATAATTCATATATTTTCTATTCTATTGTAAATATTCATCCACCGAGAACATTTTTCCTTTGACGAAAAAAAATGTTTTTCTTTTCTCGTTATTCGTGTTCGATCGTCAAGCATTTTTTCATTATACACTATGTAAATCGCTATGTCTATGGAAGAAAAATTACCTTGTAGGAAAATTTCACGTTGTCAAGAGAAAAAAAAAAAAAACAAACGAAATAACTATAGCCAAAAATTGAAGTTGAATGCCCTCATACTTCCGGCCCTTCAATTTGAACTTGTTCATTTTTTCATCTTATACCAACAGATACTCAAAACCGTTACCTCTTCATCACTGGAATTTTCACGCCCTGTCTTCCTCTTTTGCTCTTTCTTATTTTGTTCCACAGATGTGTTTTTTTCTGCTTTAGCTATGCGCCTGTCTTGCTTCGATGTAACCCGAAACTCAATGGGCCCCCGGACGCTCACCTTCTAGGACACTTCAGTAACGGGGGGATATTTCCTGTGGTGTTTTGGAGAGCACGAGCCGGATGGAATGGAAACCACAAATTCAAAAGAAACATCGGACGGTATTACATTTTTTTTTCTCTACATTGGCCGTGTCATCTTTCGCAATTCCCTACATGTAAAACAATAGGAAAAATATTTTTATTGAGATTGCCAGGACATGGAAGCAGACAACTTGTTTTCAAATTACCAAATGTATTGTCCTCCTGTCCACAGTGAAGATCGTGAGGAATCTCGCCGCTTCTATAACGTAACCATTGAGAAAACTATGTATGCTTTTAGCAAATTTTAATTGGAATCGATTTTACGTCATCATTGTCAATAATAATGGTAAATAATTAACATAGTAACAATAATTAGCCGAGTGGAGTAAGGAAAGAGATGGAAAATTTTAAAGTGCCACACGTGGTATACAATGGGCAGCCCCTACTGGCATATTAGAGGGATATGAAAAGAGAAAGAGGAGCGCATGTGCATCGGCCGAGTGTATAGGGGTAAAACGCATGGTTCTGTCGTTGGAATGGCTGGAGAGAAAGAGAAAAGGGAGAGATGAGGGAGAAAAAAAGAGGAGGAGAGTTGGTATCCGTATATAGGTACATAGTATGGCTGGAGACAGCTGTGAGGCAGCTGGCAGCGCGTGCCACAAACCTATGGGGTCTCCAAGCGACTCTTCTCTCTACCCGAGCACACTGTCGGGGGGTAGCTCCGAAAATTACTCTATGACAATTTCCTTACGAAAATGTCATATAACTTCTCGTTATTCACTTTTTTCACTTATCACCTAATTCTTTTCTCTTCATGAGTTTTTTATTTTGTCTGTGAAAAATAGTGAATAACTGCGGCAATTTAATAAATTTTAGCGAGTCGTTTTTTTTTCCCCCATTAAAAATGATTTATGGGACTACGAAAATTGGGAAGCTAGATTAAGACGATGTTAAACTGAATAATCAAACATAAGGTTGAATTTTCTTTTTTCGCTTTGTTGAACAGCTGCCATCGGATATATGTCCGAAACCCCCGAAACGATAATTCTAACAGCTGATGTTCCTGCATGCCGAGCATATCAAGAAAGAGCATTGACTACTGCACATGAGTGCATATATTATTAAGATGAAAAGATGGAAATGCCTTGCTGTAATCAAGTACCTATATTCAACATGTAGCATGTTGACATGATTGTAACATGATAAGATTTTAAGCGGTGTGATTTGTGAATATCAGCTGACAGATTTTTGAAGGGTAGATTTGGCTGGGCACGTTTGTATAGTACAGAACGAGTGTTACCATTTGGCAAGAATAGAAATGAGAAACCAGAGACGGGGCCAGTAGGAGGTAGTTTATAGATTGTACATCGTGATGTGAGTGTAAAATACAATCAATATAAATTTGGCTTTGAAATTATTCGCTGAGGATATTGAATTATATCGCCGAGGATATTGAAATTATTGTTTATACATGCAAAAGAATGGACAATGTATGAAAACTTACGGTCTTCTGTTCAAATAATAATTTTTATACAGATAAATCATGAAAGATACTGCTAATAAATTGATTAACAATGTTTTAAAGGTGCGAACGAGATGTAATTCTGGCTGGAACCTGGTTACCTGAGTTGGTTGGAGGTGAGAGAGCAGGAATAATATTCAATAAAAGTCTCTGACTGAAAAGAGAGAGAGAAAAAAAAACAATCGAATGAAAGAGGGTAGACTCAGCAATGGACTATATAGAGGGGTAAAAATGCACCGTGGGGTGGGAGTGAAAAGACTTCTGGATGGTAGCCAATGAGAATCACCGCCCCAGGAGGCACTGGCGAACCAAGCGATCTCCACTCTGCAGCTGCGACTTTTCAACGGCATTCGCACGTGGAACTTTATCCGTGACGGTTGTCTCTTATTAACGCGCGCTCTTCTACCCAATAAATCCTCCATTTACCGCAACAAAGATCATACATTCTATTCCACTAATTTAATATTATTTATTGAGATTCAATTAAATAAGTGTGAATAACAAGAGACATTATTTCAACGAATCAGGAGTGTGAGACGCAACGTCTTCGTTTCAAGCTATACTTATTCTAACAATAAAACGAAGACAAGTTAAAAATAAAAAGAAAGGTGATTTCTGGGATTTTATTCACCAATAGTTGGATTTTACGTGCTATTATTTTTGTACCAAGTACAAATTGTCGGATTGAAAGGTGTAAATTTTGGTGAGTATTGTTTTTCAAACTAATATATATATCTAATGACAATTTTATGGATAAAATTATTTTCACACTGCTAAGATAATGCAGATACATGAATAACTTTTCAAATTTATCAATAAATTTTTAATCTTCTAATCAATAAGTTTTATTGATAATGAATGAAATAATGATGAATTAATATATCGATTGGTTGTAGTACGTAATAGGGATATTCTTTCGTATGAAACATTCCCCTACTCCCAAGGACCAGTCATTTCGGGTCTTTGTTCAGTAGGTCGGTTTGAGCCTCGATGTGCTCTACCTGAAACTTGACAAGAACTACGCGACTCCTGTAGTAGGTAATATCCCCTCTGTACACGATGTTCGTTTCCATAATAATAACAACAACAACAACAACAATACTAATACTAATGCTAATAATAATAATAATAATGGTAATAATAATAATGTTGGTGCGTTTGTGCACCGGTTAATGCAACGGCATAGGGAAACACTCCAGCTGCCGCCATACATTTTCCCTTTCTGTTATGGGCCCCTAAAACTTGGTTGGACCCCTCCACCCCAAATGTCACGCCGGGGGTAAAGAGGGATATATGAAGAATAAAGATAAATTCCCCCTTCCTAATACATCGACATAGCCGTTTTTTTTTAACTGATGGCCAGGTCATTGGAAAATAGCTTCCATAAGTTTTCATACATTTATTTTCCGTGTTTACATGTCGTAATTGTCAACAATACGTCAACAATACATACTTGGAATGCATTTATCGAAAGGATGTATCACGTGTATATTAAAAAATAAAAATTAGACGACATATGGATAAACTTCTGAACAATAAATTTGACAGTTGAAAAATATATTCACTCGCTTGTGTTCCCCTTATTTCTCTAATGCATAACTGGTTGAAGCAGGTTGGCTCGATTGAGAGCGGGAAAAACCGCGCCCGGCTATGTTCAAACACCTGGCAGTCTTGATACCAACGGTTGTCCTTTAAAACACAATATTCGCATCTGTATTAGAATTATTCAAGAAATATAAACCCTTCAAGAAATACAAACCCTTCCCTATTTATACCCCTCTCCATGAAAAAACATCAAGCAATTCCGTACTAGTAATATATCAAAGGTTATTTATTTGTTGTTTTTATGCTTAAATATCAGTAATTTACTAATAATTTGGCTTATTTTATTTAACTTTTAGACAAATGCTTCGACAGAGTCGGTGATAAATTGAACCGGTGATAAGACTGAATAGTGACTAGGAAGTCTGCAAAAAATATCGGAAGTATCCATTGATTCGATTATTATTGAGTTGAGAAAAAATGCTAATGCCAGGTGCCACGGGACTTAGCGCTGTTGGTGCTGGGCCCACTGGTCCAGAGGAGTTGGTGACGAGTCTTGGTGCACTTGCTGGGGTGACACCGCAACAGAAGGATACCACCTGGACAAAGCTATTTGTTGGTGGATTACCATATCACACCACAGATAAGAGTTTAAGAGAGCATTTCAATGTATGTGGTGACATTGAAGAGGCTGTTGTCATAACTGACAGACAAACTGGCAAAAGTAGAGGATATGGATTTGTAAGTCTAGAGCATTTAATCTTCAACCTTTTATGCAGCACATAAAAATTCATCCTCATACTTTTTATTTATTGCTCATTTTTTTAAAAATAATTCTTCATATTTTCAATCTTGTAGGTAATTATGGGAGACAGGCCAGCAGCTGAGCGAGCATGCAAGGACCCAAATCCAATAATAGATGGAAGAAAAGCAAATGTAAATCTGGCAATATTAGGAGCGAAACCTAGAGGCAATCTTCAAACCAGTGAGTTAACATTTATGGTCATTTATACGTTAAAATTTCTTTTTATTGTTATTCTGTTGAGGAATAACATTGGAAAAATATTATATACATTCCTCACCTTCGGTATTTACTATTCTCACGACCAGAAACATTTACAATTATCAGCTATTTGTAACTATCAGTGCAATAACCACACTGACAACAGTGCTGAAAAGGTGACGAAATACTCATGAAAATTTTCAAACTCGAATATCCATTAATAATTTCAACCACCATCAGTGGCTACTGATGTAGCTGTAGTTACATACATAAGGACGGTAGGATCGATTCTTATTTATGAATTATTTATCTCTCAGATTAGAATTGTAAGGATCTCCTCTGATTAAATTGAACGTTTCTAGGCCATATACAATATTGAAGAAAGTATTTTTTTTGGTTCATATAATCATAAGAAATGTTGGAAAAAAAAATATTCACCTGTAATCGACTGTTATCGCTGTAATCAGCTTGGTTTGTTTGTTTGTTTGTTTTTTTTTTTTTTTTGCAAAACTTCGCAAAATTCCCTGATACTTCGTATTGTCACATAGCTATTTTGAATGATTGAATTTTAGAATCTCGGATTCATCTCGAACTCACTAAACAGACCATACAGGGTGTAATGACGCATCTTAAAAGAGCCGCCTGAGACAAAATTCGTATCATTCCCGAATGCATTTGTAAATAGACGGGATCGGTGCCAAAATATTTTCAATGTTGAATGGCCTTCCAAGTCTAAAATAATTACTATTAGAAATTTGTAGACGTTGAATTATTTATTCTCTCATTATAGAATATTAATTATGATTGTTAGTGAATACAGGCCAGAGTGGTGGCTATTGCTTACGGCAAACAAAAAGAAAAAAGTTATGAGGAAAAAATAAATTTCCCACATGCAAAAATATAAGAGCACTGAATGATGGATATAAATGGGAGTATTTTCGTAGGGATTGTAAATAATTTTTCATAGTCATGGACAAATCAATAAATTTTATCGATACATGGGATCAAAGTTGACTCATATCCAACAATCATCAATACGTACAAAACGGACAACATTTAATGATTTTCACGTAAACAAATTCAGGTTTCCATGAAAATGTGTATTTTTAGGTGAATGGTGAAGCCTGCGCTTTGAGGATAAAAAATAAAATTCCTTCTTTTTCTCCACTAATTGACGATTTTTCAATTTCAGCTTTCCCGTTTGCGGCTGGAATTAGAGCTGGATACCCGACAGTTCTCCCCGGCCAGTATGGGTAAGTGAGGCCTTTTTTCTCAAAGAATAATCAATCCATTGTTTGTTATTCAAAGTTTAAAACCTCGTGATAGGAATTTATAGTTAGGTGAAATAAACGAAATTACTCATCTTGCGTTTCATATTGTTATCAAAGAAATTTTTTCAATGGGAATGGGCGTTTCCAAAGTCATTCGATTCAATTGATTTTTTAATATAGACTAATTTTTCATTTATTTAGCGTAATTAATTTTATGTCACATGACTTTATCAATCGAAACTCTGCTGGAATAAAACGCTCGGCATTTTGGAAAAAGTGGGTTACATCGGCACATGAGCAAATAAAAAAAAAATAAATAAATAAACTATATTCACTGAGGCAAGTCGCAAAATTAACGGATAGAAAAATGTGTTTACAACAAATTAAAAATAATATTTCAGCAACGCGGTGATCTCGCGAGAAGGCACATCGAGGAATGAGAGGGAATGGGGTTGATGGAGAAGGAAGGAGAAAAAAGTGCAAAATATTGAGAACGGAAAAAGACAAAATGAGACTGAAAAATATACCTATAATTGAACGAAATATGAGGGGAATAGGGAGGGATCCTCGAGAAACCCGAAAATTCATGAGTACAAATTCAAACATTATTGAGTTTTTTTTAAAATAATACACGTAATTTTTTTTTCTCTGAATTTTCTTTGCGCAAATGATCGAATTTTGTTGGGGTGTGATTTTTTAATTCTACGTTTTTGGTCTTTGAATTTAATTACCTGAGGATTGGTTGAATTTGTTGAGAGATTTTTTGACATTTGTTTGTTGACCGATTTTTTTTTCTCTCTGGGTTTTCAAATTTTGGTTTTCATTTTATTCCGATTGTTGGGTCTCTACTATTCACACTATTTTTTTTTTTTTTTTTTTTCGTAATTGTTAGAGTAGTGGCAATAATTTCATTAATCAATATAGTTTACGTGAGAAATAATCGATTAATGGTTTTCATCACCTGTCACTTTCTTTCAACATGCCTTGTTTTTTTTTTTTTTTATTAAAATATATCTGTTTCGTGTTTATTGTTTCTTTCAATATTTTTTTCCATATTTTGAGGAATATTAATCATTTTCTCAAAAATCGGTATTATTTATGTTAACTATCGATTGTTTTCTATTATACCTAACTATTGTTTGTTTTTTGATGAATATTATATAATTGAATAGAATACGCTTAGAATCGATTGTCCAACGAATACATTAAGCGACAACAAACACCGTAGAAATGATATGCTCCAAATAACAGAATATTTAGTTGAGCATCCTTCGTCCGGTATTATTCCATTGAAATGAAAAAACAAAATTAATAAATAACAGAACGGTTAAGCTTAGGCTTCGTTTAATATAGGTAAATTGTTGAACCCGTAGGGTTTCAAAAAGTCAATCTATAGGAACTCTCTGTTTCTCTCTCACTCTTTCTTAATCTTCAACTAACAATTAAATAAAACACATGAGAAATGAGCTAGGATATTTTTTTCAATTACGAAAATTCATAAAGTAAAATATTTAAAAATAACTCTCTTGCGTGTGTGGTGAGAGCTTACACTACACGTTTGGTGTCGCTACTATATGGTGTGATTGTGTTGTTGTGTATTTTTATTGTGGTTTTTCTTCACTATTTTGCCGTATAATTTTTTTTTTGGTTTTGTTTATCATTGTTTATCATATTTTTGGGTGCTGTACGTGGATTTGAGAAAACGAACAATGTTTTATTCATTATTATTTTTTTAAATTAATTATTTAACCACCTCGGCAGGCGTCCCGCTAAATCTCAATCAATGAACAATGAAAAAGAGTTTATAATCATAAGATGCAGTTCGAGGCGACATTTTTTCTTTTTATATAGAAGACCAATTTTATTCAATATTCTGTAGTTCCCGTATAGTATATGCGAAGAAATATAAAAATTGATCTGTTTGTCACAATTCACTGTGACAGTCAACAGATGAATAATGACCGGACACTTTGCGTAATTACAAAATGTATAAATGCACAAATTCAAAAGAGAATAGAGGAATTGAGCACAATACAATTCTACAGAGAGCGGAAATTCCATCCATTAAATGATTACGTTAAGTGAATAGAAGAACTTTTCCAAGTTGGAATGGATTTTGCCTTCTTCAAATGATAAAGTTTAATGAATGATTGTTTAGTGACGATAATTCAATTCTTCAGAAAGCCTTTAATAGAAATAGCAGGAAAGCCAAAAGGTCGGTGGATACAGTGTCGCAACTCACAAGTTCCTGGTAGATAACGATGCGTGGAAGAGTCACACTAGTTGCCATGTTGATTTCTCCCTAAACTTCTGGCATTGCTCCAGTCTTTATTTAGATCCACCTGTCGTACCATGTCGCCAGTTGACGCGAGCAGACCAAAATGAATAATAAAATCCGAGACGAACAAGAGATTTTTCTTTTTGACACCCACACGTGCACCAATAGATTATGCCTTTTTTTAGGCGTACTTCTGTCATGGACATGTGCGCGATGCCCGCACTTTTCGTTATATCTTCACCTTTTTTATCTTCTATCTTCAAAATAAACTATTTTTCAGCATTTTTACAGTCTACGTTGACTCGACTAACTATACAGTAATGTTGAAATTCTATTTTCAACGTCGACTGTTGTGTTCTAAAATTCTCACCTGTCTACTCTCATCAGATTCAAGTTACACAGAGATTAGATTAAACTGTTGGATTTAGAAATTAAAGTGTATAAATGAGTTTTTCTTATTACACGATCAATTGGTCCAGCTGGAGAAAAATTTTCATTGCCAAGTGACATTGTAAGTTGTAGTGTAGATGTTGTTATTATTATTATTATTATTATTATTACTACTATTATTATTATTATCATCATTATTAATAGAATTTTCTGGCGAGTTAATGTAGTGAGGCACTCATTATCAATTATTAAAAATTCAAGTGAAATTGAATTGGTAAGTGTAAGTGTCAATTTACCACGCCCAGGATTATTTGATTGGTGGAAAATCGCGCTCACGGATTGGCGAATGGCCCCATTGGATTGTGTATAGCCTCGGCGCCGGCGCCGATGCCGATGCCGATGCCTACAATCTTACTGTACAACCCCAAATTCAACCCCATCTCCATCCCCCGAAAATTCCTCGCCCACTCCTCAGAACTCCAATGAGGTTTTGGATAAAAAATATAATGTTCAATTTGTAAAATATGGGTGAAATAGGGATTGAGCGGTGAAATAGAGAAGGAAAAGGAGTGATTGAGCATACAGATGATAATCAACTGTGGGCCACTTTGTGTCGGAAGTTGGGGGGTGGTTAGTAGTTTCCGTCACGGAAGTACTTGGACTGCACCGAATAGCCCGCGTGGTTGGACTTCGTGACCGCACCGTAAAATGATTGATATTACTGGCGTTTTCCTTTATTGATGTGTACGTGAGGTTCATCACACCTTATTCACTAACTTTATGCAAATCAGTTGATTTGAACAATTTGTCATTCATTACACGTTATTTTGAGTCCTTGGGAATGAATATCGTTATTTATAATTTCTTATTCAATTACCAAATTTCAAAAACCTAACTATAAGCTATAAGGTACACTGTCATTATTTTATTCCACTTTTTTTTTCAACAGACAATTTTAACATTTTAACAAGTTATTTTCAAGCATTATAAAATATTTTATAATAGGGGAAAAATTTTTGTATATTCATATGTATATTCCATATCGATAAAGTTGTTTTTCTTTTGGAGCATAATTGAAAACAGCTAAAAGTTGAAAATAGATAAAAATTTACTATATATCCATACAGATATGGGGGAGGGGCGTTTGCAAGTTGCCGTTGGTCACTGAATGTAATGGTTTGTTGGTGGATGGGTGGGTGGGTTAGGGTTGAAAGCAGGTGGGCACAATGAGCTCCAAATGACACCGACACGCGAATGTCTCCATCCATAATGCACTAGTGCTGACTCTTCTGGAGATAGTTTCACTAGATAACTTCTGTAGTAACGCCTCCCCCTCCTACCCTACTCTCCTCAACCACCAACACGAACGTTTAAGTTCTTTCCCATGGAAATGTAAAAAATTCATTTCTTAAATATTGCCATTGAAAAAAAAGACATGTTTTGTCTCAAATTATTTCACTCATTGCTAACAATTAAAGTCTCTCTCTTTTCTACTAATAATTAATTATGAAAATTACTTGCGAATGTTAGTTGATGAACTTGTTGAGGAACGAAAGATAATTGTGCCAGGAATGGAGAAATAGTAATGAGGTGATTATTTTCATTGGAATGGAACTCTGGGAATTTACGATTTAGCAGATAAAAAAACTAGTATCGTAGTAGATGGTGGTGGGGGATGAGCTAGTTCAGCTGTCATATGAGTTCGAGGCCACAGGACAACGGAAATATTGATTCTTCCTGGTAGACTGGACAGTGCTCGTTATCGATCCTTTTTTGTATAAAAAAGTCCACTACTGCATAGGATGTCAGAATAATATGTGGTCAATATTTTTTATTTCAACATTAGCAATTACGTAGATTTTATTCGGTAATTTTTGCTTACCATTTTCTTGAAATTATATCACCTTACCAACTAATTTTTATTTTAAAATAAAATGTTACATATGATGTTCTAAATTATTTTTAAGTGATATTAATTATTAAGGGAAATCTATTGAAAAATTCATTCTTCAGCATCTGGTCGCCTCGGACTCGTAAATCTTCCAGTATGCATATAATAGCATCCAATTCATAAATGAAGAGCTAAATAAAAATGTTGAACCGTATCGTTATAGAGAGAGAGAGAGAGAAAATGAGAGCCCGCAAAACGCAGTAGAAAATGATATTGAAATCCAAAATTATACATACACCTTAAACAAATGAATAATAAAACTGCCTTGGCGCCTTTTTGTCGCATTGGGCATTGATAAGTGTTGAATTTACGTAGATTTTTTTCTTTATTCTAATGAATTTATGACTAAGAAACAATAAACAATAGAGAAACTGGGTACAATGGAAACGGAGAAGCGCGAAATTTTAATGAATGACTTTTAATTTTAGAGTTCCACCTGGTTACATGTATCAATCACCGTACTTAACAGCAGCAGCAGCAGCAGCCGCAGCAGCAGCACCAGGGGGACTTGTGCAATTACCAACGACGCAATTGAGTCATGCAGCAGCAGTTGCGGCGGCCTCGCAATTCTACGAATACCAAAATGCAGCAGCGGCAGCGGCAGCAGCAGCTGCTGCAGCAGCTACCTATCCGGGTACGTCATCCTACAACTTCGCCGAGGCGGCCGCCTATCCGTACCCCAGCGCTGCCGCCGCCGGTACGTCTTTAAAACAGCGCAAGTAGGGAATTTAGACACGCGATTGAAACATTCCAAAACTAACTTACTTATACAATTTTATTATGCTTACATAATTAATCAACGCTTTATTTATCATCAGTCACCTACATCAACGACAACAGCAACCATCCCTTTCATTCATCTTTCATTTTCTATAACATCACTAACTAAACTAATTACTTTCACAAGGAAAATGAGAGATTTTATTTAAATATATTGGAATAAGAAAAATAAAGATGATTATCGGGCTGAATAATAATGGGAGTGAATGGTTCTTATTTACCTATTTAAATTTTTCAACCGAAATACTTCCAAGACAATGAACTCAAAAATATAATACACATTCAAAAATATTGTATATATGTTTATACACATGTTTCAGCGAACGCAGCAGCCGCCAGTTACGTAACACCGTATACATACGCCACCCTACCAGGTGCTGGAGCATTACAGGGTGCAACAACGACGGGTGGTGCATTCCCGGGTCTACCTTACCAAACAACACCCCAGGAAACGAGACTTCAATAGAACTTTCTCGTATCTAAATAAAGTAAGATATCCTTTAACATGAAACCTAGAAACGAAGAAATATTTAACTTGACGTATCCTGCCCTGAATGAAGAAACGATTAAGTTGAATTAAAATTGAGGAACGATAGAAATTTTTCTACATATGCGTTCATTTCGAAAGACTTATTGTCTCATAGAAAGGTGAAAACCCCCCTTGTCATTGACTTGAACTTCTATCTTCCTTACTCTTCCCTCAGAAGCCAAAAAAAAAAAAAAAAAAAAAACAAAAAAAATCTATAAAGAACAACTTATGAATAAACATCAAGCGAATTTTCTTTTATTTCAATGGTCAGTCCTTATAATGAATTAACCAATTCCCTCCAAAGGATTTTAACATCTTCTCATTATTGGAAAAATAATTATTCATGTCGAGGATATACCAGGGATTGCCTGAGCATATACTCAATCGCTCGATAGTCTAACCAAATTTAAGGAATGACCAGAAGGAAAATTCGTAAAAAAATTTAGAGAAAAACAAAAAATCTACATCTTAGTTCATAGTTGCATGTAGCTGTAGATAGCTTATCTTATTTTTTAATTTAATTGAACTATATAACGAAGAATGATGGGATCGTTAACCAATCATCGATGATATATCAAAATCCAATGTTCAATTATTCAGTCATTAAATCCACTTAATCGGATAATGTGGCCTTACAGATGTGTCTGTTGTGTCTTGCTACTCAAGCCTTATAAAAAATCATTTAAATAATGGAAATATGAAAGAAAAAAAAACGAAAAACAACGACAGACTGTGAAAAATCCTCAATATTTATTTTCTATAACTTGTCACTGTTGAGTGGTCTTTCAAGACCAAAAACACACTCAATGATAGACAAATACAATATGAGATGAAGGTAAATAAGATTGGAAGCTAGTCATTGAGACTCGTCGTTTTAAGAAGAGGAAAAGAATGTATTATTCATTTTCCTATTGCAAAAACAAAAAATGGCAGAAAAAATGAATTTTCATTTTCTGATATTGAGCCAACAGTCTGAATGATGCCTAACCATTATTTTTCAGACTCTTAGATGAATTCGTTAAGAGTTGCAAATGTTACTGAACATAAAATTAATTAAATTTTTCCATTGGTTGAAATAAATCGATAGTTTCAATTATTGAAAGAATGTTGGAAGGAAGTAGAGAGGTAAAATTACTGAATAATCGACTTTTAACGACGACTTTCTTGTATAAAGTTATAAAGATGTTAGTGTCAATGTTGAGCAAAACTCAAAGAAGAAATAAAATCGTATAATTATAGCTGTATATTAAAATAATAAAATAATTCACTTAGCATTAGATACAATTATTAATATCTTCATCATTATTCTTTCTACATTGTAATGATGTGTTTATTATTATCATTATCCTTTCATCATCATTTATACCATTTACATTGATATGTTTCACTCAACGTATTACGATATGATTATTTTTATTGATTATTATACAATAAATACAAAGTTCAAGTATGATAATTAGTACGTTAAATGAATTTGTGAAGGGAGTCTCCTCATTTGGCTTCTAGACACAAGGTGAGATATTAACGAATTCGACCAAATTCAATACTTTCAATGTGAAATTTTTTTTTTAGCATGTTATTCATTGTTATTTGGAAATTCTCATTCTCTGATACGATATTTTATGCTGAGGTACAAAGTGGAAAATTGCAAGTTATTTTTAATTAATAAATCAGTAATGTTAAAATATCAAGCCTTACGCCAATACCATACTTTATCGTCTGTTATAAAATTTCAAATAATAATACCCTAGTTATCAATAAGGAAGAAATAAATGAATTAACATATAAGATCTAGACAAATTTCATTATTTGTTCTCATTTCTTATAATTTTGCTTTTTCCATCATCCGCTGGTTGACACTTTTCAGGGTAAGCATCATATTAAGTAAAATTTCAGTTCCACATAGTGCTACGTATGGAAATGTCCCAGGTGCTTCAAGGGTATTAAAATGGATAACATTTAACTGTCTCCATGTATAGTGATTGCATAAAAAGTACCTTTAGCGTTTGAGTCTGAGAAGGAGTGGATATAACTCAATAAAAGTGGATTAATTGAATTTGTGTTTATTATGTTTTTGGTACAAAAAAAAAAAAACGAGATATCGTAGAATTTGAAGTGTGTGCAATGTCATTGCTTAAGTTAATAATAACAGACAGAATCGAACTCGATCCAAAATCTTTGTTCAGATTTACCAATGTCTCTCAAACCAATGTCAACAAAAGGTAGCCGTGTTGGTTTATCCGTGGTGTATGAAAGTTCGGTTGTCGACCACTCGTTTGATCGTGCCTAAAACAAACATAAACGTGGATAATTATATGACCTCCATCTTCACAACTAATAATATTTTTAAATGGAAAATGAAAAAAAAAAATCTTCATTGGGATTATAATAGATTTACCTTACATCCATCCACTGTTACATCATATCGTAGTCGATGATTACCCTTTGGTGTTAATTCAACATCATTCCACGCGAGTAATTTCAATCCACGCCTGTATGTCTTATGTTCCTCGTCATAAAAAGCAACGCTATTTTTACAATGATACGTCAAATTCTGCTCCGCATGAATCGACAATAATTGTAGAAATCCGATTTGATTGCTATCCGCTTTATAAGATACCTTAATTCCATCCGTTATTTCACTGAGCCAAATTCCATTACCATGATAATTGTGATTGTCTATATGATTGATCTCTTTGGTTTTCGATGGACTCACAAAGATACAAGTTGCGCGTTTATTAACATCACAATGAACGAGAATAGCGTCGCGGATATCGCCCCCATTTGGATCGACCCAATACTCACCTAAAACCAGTTGATTAGAAAATTCATCATTTTTTATTTCCATTTATTCATTATTAATTTACCTCATTCAACTTTAATTCACTCAATTATATAAGAATAATAATAACCTGATGGTTTGTCCGGATATGCAATAAATAAATCACGACACGTTCGTGCAGGAGCATTTTCATTTCCATCAGGCTGAATGGCATTTTTAAATGTTGACTTCAAATGTTCATAAGCTTTCATTAGAAGCTCATTCTGCTCATCTTTGCTCATCTCCTTACCAAAGAGCCTAAAAGGCGCGTCTCCTACCATACCATCAGGCCCTTTACTCTGTCCCTGCACTTTAATTCATTATCAATAATTATTATTTAATAAATTAAGTTGAAAAATACAAATGAAAGAGGAAAATAAAAAGATGAGATGTGAGGATTACTCATCAAAGCGGCCAAGGAAGCCGCATCGTATCCGAAATTCCCTTCTCCGGGCGGCCCAGGCGGTCCTATAGGTCCCACAGGTCCTGGGAGTCCTTGTCGTCCATCTTCACCAGCAACTCCTGGTGAACCGGGATTTCCAGCGAGCCCTATTGGCCCTGGATTACCATCCCGGCCAGGCGGACCTCTTAACCCTGGGATGCCATCTTTGCCGGCTAATCCAGGTATCCCAATAATTCCTAAATCATAAAATATTGTAATATCTCGTTAATTGAGAAAGTTTTTCAATATGACACCTTTTTCTCCAATAGCACCCGGCATTCCAGGTAAACCTTGAAGTCCCATCAAGCCCCGGTGTCCCTTAGATCCTTTTGGACCCTCGAATCCACGATCACCCTTAACTCCTTCGATTCCAGGTAGACCTGGCCTTCCTTTGGGTCCCTAGTATCACATCCATTTCCATTATATTTCCACATATTATGAAAATGGGCATTAACATTAACATTAACATTAACATTAACATTAACATTAACATTAACAGTGAAGGAATGGCAATTGAAATGAATTGTATTACTTGTGGTCCATCAACGCCGCGAATACCAGCTTCACCTTTGGGACCTCGATCACCAGTAAGACCCATGGGACCCATTGGTCCAGTAGAACCCTAGCAATTTATTAGATTATCAATGTAAATAGTGCCCCATTTACATTTTGATATTCTAAAGGATTTTAAAAGAAAAAATAATAATAATTAGGATAATTAGGAGAGTTCTCCTAATAAGAATTCATAATACCGGCTGTCCAGGGCTTCCTGATTCTCCTTGTAACCCAATGAGACCCGGTGGCCCTTTCTCTCCGGCTCGTCCATTCAAGCCAGGCGGTCCCGTCTTACCAATGGGCCCCTCAGGACCTATTTCTCCTGGTACACCTTGCACTCCTTGTAGTCCTGTCAATCCCGGTACGCCAGTTTTTCCTTCAACTCCCCCTCGACCCGGTGATCCTACTTCTCCCTACAAGAGGAAAACAGGAGAATATCAAATATAGAAACAACGTAGAAAATAAATGGTAGAAAAAATCTGAGCACTTACTGGTAGGCCACGCAGTCCTCTGGCTCCAGGAGCACCCGATGGACCAGGCATTCCCGGCAATCCACGCTCTCCGACACTGCCCTGTGTACCCGGAAGTCCTGTCACTCCTACAGGTCCCCGTGGTCCTCTCTTGCCACGTTTACCATCTATTCCGGGAGCTCCTGGCTGTCCTCGCGGTCCCGGAGCTCCAAAATCACCTTTCATTCCAATGTCACCCTTAAATCCTTTCTCACCGGCAACACCCTTAATGTATTCATTGATTATTTATTGATTTTTTTTTTATTTCAGTCGTTTATATACAATATAGGAGACATTAGCGTTTAACCATTTAACTCACGGGAAAGCCTTTAGCACCTGTTGATCCAGGAATACCTGCTATACCTGGAAATCCTCTAGCGCCCGGAAATCCTGGAACGCCGACTAATCCCGGAGTGCCAACAATTCCTTTTTCTCCTGGTATACCGTCTCTTCCAGGCGGACCCTCAACACCGTTTTCTCCAGGTTCACCATTCCGCCCTGAGTCTCCTTTCTGACCGGAATATCCTTGACTTCCTTTCAATCCAGGAAATCCTTGATCACCTTTCATGCCAGGCACTCCGGGAAAGCCCGGCGAACCAACTTTACCAGTAGGACCCTTCAATTATTCCGAGGTAACTATTCCTTGTACTATACTATATTGCAATATTTATCAATTAAATACTCACGGATTGACCAGGTTGTCCATTAGTCCCGTCAATACCACGCACACCAGGTGGTCCCTGAGCCCCTTCTCTACCTTTCTCACCTCTTGGCCCTGTTTGACCCTTGAAATACGAATTGTCGCTGATTTTTGTATTTGTACACATGATAATGATGATTATTGATATTCATATTCAATTCGAATGAAAATAGTTAACCGGAGGTCCTGTTGGTCCTGCAGATCCAGGAGCTCCGGATGCTCCTCTTTCACCAATTGTCCCTTGCTCGCCCTTGGCACCGTCCAGTCCTGGCAATCCGTGATGTCCTTTGCTTCCCGGAATACCCGGTAAGCCTGGTAATCCCCTTAAACCTCTAACACCTTGACTCCCAGGTTGACCTGTTTCGCCATCATCGCCTGGTTCACCCTGTTTGTTTTCCCAAAAAAGAAATTTCAAATTTCAAATCTCATCAATGATGAAATTCCATTTTTTCCCGTAGGCATCTAGACGCTAAAGATCATAAAATATATATGAAAATCAGGAGTATCGTACATCTTTTCCAGGAAATCCTGGTAGTCCCCTTGTTCCTTGAGGTCCCGGCAAACCTGGTAAGCCCGGATCCCCCGTTTCACCTCGTGGGCCTTGCAATCCTTGCAATCCCGGCACACCAGATGGTCCTGAAAATGATCCACATATGATAGACAAATAGTCCTCCCCTTGGACTAGTTGGAGTTGGGGTTGTCATGTACAAAATACCTTGGGATCCTCGCGGGCCGACGGGACCAACAGGCGCTTGTAAATAACTCAATGGATTATAAAGGGATGAGGCTGCGTCGATCGGTCCTTTATCGTCGCTCGCTTGAGCCAAAGCTAATTGTTGATAATACAAAGACATCTGAAATGGCATTTAATTTGGCAAATGTACATAGACTATTAGAGGATATGTTGGAAATTTAGAAGAATATGGAAGAATAACTAACATCAGGTATAGCTCCAGGAGGTCCTGGCGAGCCTGGCATTCCCGGAGCGCCTGGTGTCCCTGCGATACCAGGTTGGCCATCCTCTCCCGGTCTTCCTTGCTCACCCTATTATCATCAACAGAGACAATAAACACCAGTTCCATACCAGTTCATCCTTCCAAATCACATAGTAAATATTTTTATTATATATATATAATCACATAACTCACGCGTATTCTAGCTATTGAATTCATTTGATTACTCTCCCCCGGTACCATCTCAGTTGACTGAAAAAGAAAAACGTGACGCGGTCTGCATAAATTCTCCCCGTCAATCGAAAACAAACAAGTATATTGACCCTCCAATTACTTACCAATGGTTCTGTGTTATTAGATAATTCTACAACTGAAAAAATTAACATACAATAAGTAGATCCAGCAATATGTTTAAGTATCTATAATTATAAATAAAAAAAAAAGTCTGTAATAACATACCAGGAGATGATACTGTAGTACTATCCGGGGATTCACTAGTTCGCCCGCGATCTAAGCAAAGATATATTCAATTTAATAGTGTGCTACTGGGTATCTCCATTTCACGTGCTGTACAGTGAATAATTAATTATTTATACCTATACTTATATTATCATGACTTGTAGATGTGGCCCTGATAGGGGTAGTTATTGTCGTCTCTGAAAAGTTTCTCAATAATTTTATCAATGATTAGCAAATAGCCCATGTCAATTGCATTGAGCTAAATTACTCGATGAATGTATACATGAAATCGTGACGCGACCTAAACACTAAAGGGAGACTTCCGCCAATGTTAGCTATAAACGGATTAATTAGTTAGACTATCTTAGTCAAACTACTTATACTGATGCTCTAGACAAGTGACACTTGTTCATGTTTGAAATGAAAAAAAAAGCTTACCATTGCCGGTTTCATCGTAATCTGAATAATTTTCATAATATTCATCATAGTCAATTGGAGCTGGTTGATCTTGTTGCTGACTGGCACTCTTAGATCTGATTCTTCTTGTTTTTGCTGCATGAATTTGCGGGAGTAGCCCGTTAAAAATTATCAAAATAAGAAATAAAAAATAAACGACACTGGGTTGTAAGTACGGCATTGTTAAAATAAAAATTCGGGGTGTAGATCTTGTAAAGGAAGCAGCCACCTTCGAGATGGGCTGAGGGCGACTACACTTGCAGCATCTAAAGCAACATGTCTTTACCAGTTGCACTTCATAGGCAGGGGAGGGCCATTATCATCTCTAGCCCCCGCTTTTCCCTTTTACACATCGCTTCTTCATTTCTTCTTTTAGTCACTACTACATAACATTTGTCAAGTGGTCACTTGTCTATTGGGTAAACCATCATGTTAACTCATATATACCGCAACTGAAATTTACTATCTTCTCTTCTCCTCTTTCTATCCCAAGAATTTTAATGTCAATTCTTACCACTTGCGTTATTTAAATGCCCTAAATATGTTATTTCAATTGACGCTCAATCGCTCATTGTTGAATCAATGTTTATATTCCATTATATTAGTTATCAGTAGCTTTCAAGAAAGTTAGAGGATAGAAAATTCAATTGTTGATAACATTTATTGGTAAAATGTTTGAAAAAGTAGATCATTATGACTTTATCGAATATCTTCTAGAGTCAAGAGAATTCCGTTGATGGTGGGAAAAATAAGGGAGGAAAAGAAGATCACGTCAAATACATATAAAAAAGATATAGCAAGATATTTATTGTTAAATGTATGCAATTACTACTCATTTAATAGTCAAGTGGAGATTAGCAAACGCTCGACCCACTTAATGGTCCAGATGGTTAGTTTTTTGTATGCCTAATAAGTGTCGTTGCAGCTGCTCCATGATAGTGGCATTCTAGTTGTGTTCTTCTGAGAAAGATCTTTGTGGGGATACATGTATAGCAGCATGAATCGCATTTTAGATCCCATCGTGATGGAGTTGGTGCATTGTTTTTAGTGAAGATCATGATATCATCCCATCTTCGTTTCATCTTTCATCTTCTGTCAGTCAATAAAGTTTGTTAAATTCAAATTATTATTTTGGCCGCGTTTCTGTTGCTGTTGAACTCGACAGTTGACGTTTAAACGACATTTCAAGCGTAATAAGGTCACGTTGACCCGCCACCATCATTTGTTTTAAATTGTTATAAATCACTGCACGTTCTTTTGCTTGCCATTTCCATTCTTACTGCCTTTGAAATTTTTCAAATAGGAATGCTGCCTTCTTTGCCTTTCTTTGCCTTCTTTCTGAAGCAGCATTTTACTGTGTGCCAGATATCTATATTTATTCATTTACATCCATGAATCATCGACGGCAAATAATTCAGCAAATACATACATTTCAATTGATTTTCATTCTACTGAGATACAATTTATGTTTCGATTTCGCCCAAATATATTTGTTTATCACTTGACCCAGAACAAACTGTAAAGTAATGGAGAAAAAAAAAATATATATATATATATATATATATGTACATATATCACCGATTAATGAATAACTTTCAAATTTCATGTTTTTAATTGATAATTACCAATGGGCTCTTTCGGATGGAAATCGACATCATTGACAGATCCATTATGCCCAGGTAATTTATATAAAATTCGTCTACTTGTCGTGTCCCAAATGTAGTGAAATCTATCTGAAGAGCCTGATGAAACTTTACTACCGTCTGGTGACCAAGCACATCTCAACAAATTCTGTTCATAGATAAAAAAAAATGGGGGGGAAAGAAAAAGTAAACAATGGTTAGTGCATTGAAGCGAAAGTTGAGTATTTAGAAAGCCCAATTTTACCTTTTCGAAATTGTGTTGATGACCAGATAACATTTTGACACATCTCTCATACGGAGCAAACGGCCGAACATCCCAAATTCTCAAAGTATTGTCCATGGAATTTGATAATATGTAAGAACCGTCTGGGCTCAAGCTAATGCCAGTAACAGTATCAGAGTGTCCTTTTAATTTGTAAAGAACCGAATTTTTCCGTAAATCCCATACTTTGATGTCATTGTCGATTCCCCCACTGATAACTTGTTCAGCTGTGTCGTTGAATGTGGCCGTAGTTACTTGATAGGTATTATTTAAAGTATAGCATTGACCCCGCTTTCTTGGGTCCCAAATTCTGATGGTGCTGTCATCACTTCCAGAGCACAGCTGTGTTGGCCCTCTACGGGCTCCAGATACTGAATTAACGAAGGAAGTATGACCCTTGAGTTTTTTAATTCTTGTTCCTGCAATAATGTCCCATAAACCCAGTGTCATATCTGTACTAGCTGAATATAGATGATTGCCATCGGAACTAAAATGGATTTCCATCACAGCTCCACTATGGCCAGACATTGCTCCAACATTTTCACATTCCCCATAAACATTCCAAATAAATATTTGCCGATCGAAACCTGTAGAGACTAGATATTGTCCTTCTGGATGAAATTCCAGTGAGAAAATATCACCCTGATGACCCTCTAATAGCATAATTGGTGCGATTAGAGAGGATGTTCGTGGTGGACCCTAAAAAATCATTCAACATTTGTATTTGTATTTGTATTCGTATTTGTCTAAATTTTTTCAATCAGTCCAATTCCATTTTATTATAAACATTAGCAAGAATGACTCTCGATATTTGCTTACATTTTGGACGACAGCTTTTTCTCTGCTACTAAACACCACTTCATTTTTTGTTCTCTTTGATGCTGGGACGAGGGCAAGAATTTCATCACCCTTTCTCTTGTCAATCGTTGGCATTTTACCCAAAATATCAATATCAATATCAATATCTTAATTCTTTTCTTCACGATTAATCTTCTTATATATAAATGAATATATTTCTGTTTTAACAATACACATTCATCCGCAGCAATACAAACCACGCAAACAGAACTGTCTAACATAACCTATAAGTAATGCTATCGTATCGATATGGGAATCAGTAGGTAACTGCTGTATCCATAGTACCACGATCATTATGCGTTTGCATAGTTCTTCATCTGCCAATTCAAATTCGAAAAAAGGATAATTAAGCAGAAAATATGAATTTCTAAACTGTAAATCAATGTTTTTTAGACTTCCTAAATGATTTTGCATCGATTTATGCTAATTAAAATATTTTTTGGTAACTTCACCTGCTAACTATACGCCATATAAAAAAATAATCAATTATAAATAAACTATATTACTAGCTGAAAAATGTAATTAAGAATAAACAATAATACTGGTATTACATTAACATTTTGTCCAGTTTGCCGATTACTTTAAAGAAGACTGATCGATTAGCCTGATGAAAGTCGCAATTTTTTGTCATTTCAACAATCTCTGAAATGCTATTGATTCGAATAACAACAATGTAGTCTCCATCATCCGCTATATAAACGACTCTGTCCAAATGGAGATCAATGAGAACTACAATTTCCTTTAAAATTTCTATTCCTTGGTCAACGATGTGGGGATATTCAATGAAATCACACTTTGTTAATGCCTCGACCAAATGACGAATCCTATTGCAAACTTTGGGCTTCAAATCTACACCATGTCCAATCAACATCATGTAATAATAGTCGGATATTTTGATTTCGACGGGTTTCTTCACCTCAACCATTTTCATTCTCTCTCCATTTCCCTGGATTAGAGTTAAAATATTTGAATTTTTTTCATTATCCGAGTCTCCACCAGTCACGGAATTTCCATTTTTAGAATCTTGTGTTAAATTTGCTGTTGAAGATGTTTGCATTGGATTAAGTTTCCAGACATTGACATTTGATGTCATCTGAGTTCCATACATCGTCATGTTTATTACATGTTTATTACTGCCACTAATTGTTGTTTCAAAATCGTGGCATTTCTGTAGATTGTCATTAACTTTCGTATGACAATGGCTCGTCACATTTGAAACTGTCGCCGCCATCGATACCATTTTTTTTTTATCCTGGGCATGATTAAAATATTCATCACGCATACTTTCATCTGCAGTTATATCCATGTCCATTTTGAATTTAACATCTGGAGTGTCAGTTGTTTCGATGGATGGATTCAAATTGTTTCTAGCGTTCTGCAACGTTTCATCATTTTTCTTACTTTCAATTGCGCTACAGTGAACCATCCCAGAGTTATTGGATAGCTCCTGTACTACTAATTCATTGCTATGATTGTTTTGTTGTTCTCTTGGCATGGCTATATCCAACTCTCTCGTAGACATAGAAGAAATTAGGCTTTCTAATTTAATTTTAAAGTGAATATCTGGCTTAATATTATGTTCGGTCACATCAATTTCCTCTGCTTCGAGCCTCTCTACTTCCACCGAGATTTGATCCTCAGATGAATCTATATTTCCATTAATGACTTGCGAGTACTTTATTTCCCTCACCACCCCATGACTCTCCTGATGTTGGGAAATATTTGTTCGGTTATTTTCTTTTGTTATTAAATCGTCGTCATACGTTTTCGAAGTAATAGGAACCATCCAATCGGTGAACGATGAGAGCTGCCCTTTATACTTCTTTTCATGATATTCTTCACTTGTAATTGTAAAATTTGTCGAGTTCGATGAAGAAACAGAAGCAGAAGCAGAAGCAGAAGCAGAATCAGAAGGGGACAGATTATTAAAGTTACTGTTGCGGTCGACATTTTCGTGATTTTCCATCTGCTGATGGGTATGGTGAAATGACCTAAGGGAAACAGACTCAGCATGCTCATTCTCACAAACATCCATATCTTCACTTTCCCCCGCTAAGATTTTTTCCGTTTTCTCGATTTTGCATAGTGGCATGAACTCAGTATTGAGTCTATAGTCAGGTAAATGGGAATCGTTAGGTTCGTGTACAACAGCTATCAGTTTTAGATACATCGCTTGAGCTGCCAATTGCTTAGCCAACTTTGTAGTGTGGGCACAACCGACCTCTCGGTGTTGACCTACTATGCAATTCCAATAGAATCTACGTGAATGAGCAGGCCCATCCTCGTCATCCTCATAATAGTTCGGTTGTGGTAATGCATTTCGCGAGCAAAACATCTGGAAACAAGTGGAAAATGTAGTTTTATCGATATTTCCCAAGCATTAGACCATATACAGTGTATATAATATACCTACACTCAAATTGCCAATATGGTTCTGAATATTGTCTCCCGCATTTTGCGGAAGGGCCTTCAATAATTCAACATCATCGCAAATTTGCATGAGCATGTTTCGAGCTGCATCTTGCTTTGCCTTCTTCTTATTGTTATCTGTACCATACGCTTCTTTCCCTGCGGCTATTACTTTCCATGTAAATTTGGAAACGTTAGTTGTCTTCAATGTCCAATCATATACTAATTCGTACTTGGGTAGCGAACAACCAGCTTTCGCCAATTTTTCATGCAATACAGATATTGGCGTTTTTCCGACTTCAATTTTCGCCTTTTTTTTACTCATCATTGATACTCCTTTGTACGAAAATTTTCTAGAAAATAGATGGATTACCAAGCCCAACATTATGAGTCCATACATTTGTGCTTATTGTTCCATTATAATTATTGAGCTTACCTCTGATTGACAGAAGAAATTATAATGATACCATTGAATGTGATTCTGTAATTGTTTCTTTTTGATGCGTGGATGTGTAGAGGCGGTAGAGTCTCACATCTGTGGAAATTGTTATTCTTACGTCCTACCACTTCTACCGGAATTACTAGGAGGAGAGTAGTCGCCATTACAATTAAATAGCGCCACAATTCAAACGTGCTCGGAGGTAGACGTATTTGATTTGATTTGGGTTAGTTGATTTTGAGGAAATGGGCATATGCATCTATGAGTCGACATAGTCGATTTTCTTCTTCTTGGACTCCATCAAGGGTTAATTTCACTTCATTGGGGTTTGATTTGGCTTGATCAGGGTTAATTTAATTTCATTAGGGGTTAATTTGACTCCGCTAAAACAGCCGGGTGTAAAATGGACCTAAATCGACTCAAATACACGTACCCCACCGTCATGAACATTCACATGAGAACGCATTTTTCGGCTCACCGACGAAATAACACTTTCCAGTCAATGCTTTTATTACTACGGACCGAATGCGCGCTCCGCGAGCGCTATTTGATTCCGTTGTGCTGATGATGACATAGCCAATTGCCCAATGAGAAATAGGGTTACCGAGTGAAAAGTCTGACGCATAAAGTTAACCAATCTTACTCTCGGCCAACTTATTTTTTCTGTATCACCTTTAATATATAGAAATACAAAAAATTGAATAGTAATATAAAGACCCACAGCAACTTGATCAAAAATTTGATCTTCAACTTTTCCTCTTTTCTATCTGAAAATGTCAAAATTCGTAATGATCTACTTACTATGTAGTGTTTATTCATGTTCATCAATTTTTCAATGTGCATTAGCCAATAAATATACTGCTGAAGCTAATAAAGCGATAAAATTTAATAAAGTGTCGAGCAGTCATGGTGAAGATATTCCAGTTCCCATCTCAATACGAGGAGTCGACAAACCTTACAGAATGGCCAAACTTAATTTATTATGGGCCAAGGCTAAACACGTGAGTGCATAATCATTGTTGAAAGCAGAAAAAACCATAATCAAATGAGCATTTTTTACCAGAATCACAGAAGAAATGCGAAGTAACCCGGTTTTTTTTTCAAATTTGTCTTTGTTAAGACAAATCGAGCGAAGAAATTTTTTTTTTAATCAATCAATTGACATTATTTCAGCGTTTGACAGATGCCAAACTTCAGTCACTTTTCAGTGATTTGAAACTACACGACGAAACAGAATTAGCTTATAAACATTATCAAGCAGATGGAAAAGATGAAGAAGGGCTAGAGGAAGCTCGCCTGAGAAAAAAACTGATCGGTAATTATGTGTTGAATGTCCGAAATGACGAGACTATACACGTGGCATTATTACTATTTCTAGGTATCATGAGTACTTATGGTTTGTTGGATCATTTTGCTGCAACTGATGATCCAGAATTGCTTAAACATCATAAAGCTCTCAATGACGGAAGCAATTATATCGCTAGAGGGGTGTTTGAAGATAAACGATTAAATCAACTTTGGGCAAAAGCTGAAAGAGCTGGCTTTACACGTAAAATGACAAATGACTATCTCTTCGTCATTATATTTCACAACCTTGCAAACGACTGGTAATTTTATTTACGTATTTATAAATATTTATTCCTTTCTAAGCAGACCAAGAACTGGAGGCACTTAAGGAAGAGTTTAATCATCATCAAGAGAAGGTTGATGAATATATGGGTCTCTTGAAGGATGTTGATGCTGGAGATTCAGAAACATATAAAAGTAATGAATTCATGGAATCACTACCATGAATTATGGCCTCATTAAGAAACCAAATGATATTTGTTTTGTATTTTTTTTTTTTTGTAGATAGCGTGGATGAGGAGCACGAAAGCTGGAACGAAATTAACTATAAAGAAGAAAAATTGAATTCAACGCCTAGCATAAAAATAGATCATATTTCCAAAGCAAATTTGCTCAGGTAAATTTATTGAAATTTATGGCGAGAATGTATGTCAATAAGATATTGCATTTTAATTTATCAGGGAAAAGCATATTGAAATAAAAAGTGGATACGATAATCTTGATAGAATAACGGCTCAGGGTAAAAATCACCAAGAATTCGTAGAGCCGAAAGTTCAGGGTTTATGGAGAATTGCAAAACAAGCACAATTCACTAAAGATGAACTGGCGTCTTTGAAGGTGAGAATGTATTTCAGTAATGTCAATTGCAATTTTAGAAGGAATAATTTGTTTACAGGAGGAACTTCATCATTATGAAACCAGATTATTGAAGTTACGCCATTTACATACAAATGCAGCTTTAGAAGCAGCGCGGAATGGCAAAGATTATGACATTAATAATTCAAAAAATCAAAGGATTAAAAAACACTCAAGAACTGTAGAAAAATTGCATGCTGATATCGAGTCGAGAATTCTTGAACGCCATACAGAATTGTAATCTCAATTTTTCTTTGTCATAATACCATATGAAAGGAATGATACAAATGGTTCATTTCAGATAGCAAAAAAAATGATGAATAAATATTTTTTGACATTTTTTATTTTTTAATTCATTCTGCGGAATTTAAATATAATTTTATATTAATTATTGGGCTATGCAATTAATGGTTTTTTCTAAATCACAAATATGCTAGATCCCCGACGTGCGTATAGTTGTGGAAAATTTTCGAAAAAGTATCAGGAGAATAGGAAAATTAAGGAGGTATTTAGTGAAATTGATCTTCCTAATACTTTTTCGAAAATTTTCTTTTTGCCAATTTTACAAAAAGCCTCCGCCATTCTCAAGTTATCCTGCCCTTTGCCCTTTGCTTAACCATTGCTCTTTTGAAATAAGGAACGATATTTGTTAGATCGATATAAGTATCCATGGCAATCAATTGTTTCACTCGAGATAATAATTCCTTGGCTTGAGATTTGACGGAATAATAATCTTATAAATTCTCCTTCCATATACTTAATTACTTGGAATCAAGCTATCTAATTAAATAATAATTAATTTGAAAAATGGCAATGGCAGTGCAGGAACGAAGCATTCCTGCAATTAACACGCTCGTCAAATATGATAACCCTGTATTAGTTTCGACTCATGCGGAGAAAGTGACAAAGGATACAACACCAGTGAAAATTGGCGTTGTATGTAAGGCACAGTCTTCTCCAGCAACACTTGAGGTTCGCCGTGAGACAGTGGAAATTCTCAATGGAATCTTACCACCGAAAGAATGGGAGGAGGAGGGACAAATTTGGACTCAACAGGTGAACATTAGTAAAACAATGCAGAATTCTTCTACAATTACCTTATTTAAATAATTTTGTAGGTTTCAAGTACACCTGCCACCAGACTGGATGTTATTAATCTTCAAGAACAATTAGATATGAGATTACAGCAAAGACAAGCCCGAGAAACTGGTATTTGTCCAGTTCGAAGAGAATTATATTCTCAATGTTTTGGTAAAGATTTAAAAATTAATAAATTTCTACAAAAAGGATAAGGAAATTGATGTTTCCTTTCAGATGAGATAATACGTCAAGTAACAGTTAACTGTGCAGAAAGAGGATTGCTTCTCCTTCGAGTACGAGACGAAATAAAAATGACTATGGCCGCGTATCAAACCTTGTATCAAAGCAGTATCGCTTTCGGGATGCGAAAAGCATTACAGGTGACGAATAAAAAAATTCTGTTTGGCTATATGACAAACACCTAGAGAGAGAGAAAAAAAAGCAATAACATTGATTATACTCGCCAAATAGACTGAACAGGGTAAGGAAGATTTGATAACAGCTGCGGACGAGTTACGAGTTCAAAAGGCTGAATTAGAAAAAGCTGTAACTGAATTACGACAAAAATTCGAGCAATCAGAAAGGCGGGCGACCGAGCTGCGTGAAGCGGAGGAAAAGAAACATGCCGAAGAGATTCAATTTCTTAAAAAAACCAATCAACAGCTAAAGGTATAAAACTAGAATTGAAATATCAATTGAAATGACACAAAACTATTATTGATTATTAACATAAATGCCTTTTTTTAGACTCAACTGGAAGGCATCATAGCTCCGAAGAAGTAAAAAGCTAACAACTTCATAAATATCAATTCAAGCTTGAATAAAACAATGAAAACAAAATATAATAATTCATCATTCGTTTTCATTTAATGAATATTCATCTACATAATATTTTCACGTACAAATACACGTATAGCATTATAAAACGTATAAATATTGCTCATTGAAGAAAAATAGCTGACAATAATATATGTATTTCATTTCCATCAAAACTTAGAAATAAAAATTAGATATTTGATAAATTCAATGTCTATATTAGTCATTGTCTCATTCATCTTACGCAATTTATGTTCTCCCTCATGATGATAACATTTGAAGAATCCATTTTTTTCATTTTTTTAGTTATTTGATGTCTATGTTACTTACGAATTGTTATCAATTACGGTGCAATTGACTTCACGTACTATTATTCTAATGACCACATTTTTTCAAGTTGAAAACTCAAGATGATAATTAAGAATCTCATGAGTGATGTACATGGTTAAAGAAAAATTAATTTATGGGATTGGAAGAGAATGACACCGAAAACACCGTGATTTCACAATCTACATGGTGAATTTTCGATTAACAACGTCATTGAGAAAGTCGTCAACATATATATTAATAAAAAGCACTGATTCCATTATAAACAGAAATAATCAAGAACAACGAGTTAACTAAGTGGATGAGTCGATTGAATAATTGAAATGTTTCAACGTGGTGGTCCCATCGTTCTGATTTAGAATTGATCAATTAACTTTCGAACACAAGCAAACATAATATTTACGAGGAATTAGCTCAATTCAACCCGTCGAACCATGGTGACGGATAAACTATATATAATACTATTAGTAATTTTTTCAAGGCGATGCTACATGAGCAATACATATAATTAATTAGTGTAAAAGCATAGTGTAAGTCTATGCAAACTTGATGCTAAACATAGTTGACTTGTATATCTCAGTTGACATCGATATAGGTTTCAAGCTTCTTTTTCTTTTATTGTCATTGAAATTTTATCCTTAACTTGTGAAAAATAATACACGCGCACTTTCAATTAATAAAATACAATGCGCAGATTTTTTACAGATTCTCCCTTACGACGAATATTTTTGTAATTAATTTACAATTTGCCATTCAATTTCCATAAATTACAGTGCATATTTCTTTATAATACTCTTATTGGACTTTTATTAATATTTTCAATTCTTATTTACTTCTTTTGTAGTTCAATCTCGAGAAATTTTCAAATAGAATCATTATTGATCCACAACTCTTTTACTCCATACGTGTACACCATTTGGAAAAGGATAAATAATAATTAATCTCTTTCCATCGGCAAAAAGAATAATTCTAGTGATTTATATTTCACAAGAAAGACCTTAGACGCGTATACATGACAGTAAAAGAAAGTTAAATTCAGCACCTTCTTTACGCTACTCTTCAGTCAAGGAATTTGCATTGTATTTGCAATTTGTATTTTTAAAATATATTGTTATGTTGTTGTCATTATTGCATTAAAATTAAACACCGTCGGGCAAGATGTAATATATATATTATATAATGCAAAAAACCAGTTAGTAAGTTCACACCAGTGTAAGGAATGTGTAGTTATTTGTAGTAATTAACTTATTTTTTTTTTGTCGATGAACGCCGCTAGTAAAGAATTGAGAATTTGTTTGTTTGTTTTTTTTTTCAATTAAATTCAGATGAACTTGAATCGACAATCGATATAAAAGTATAATCAAATGGCAGGATTAATCCCATTCCCTGTAATATACTCAATATGACTTTATATGTTTCAGTTAATTTTCACATTGCTACAGCTGCAGTCACTACAATATTTCCAATTGATATTTGCTTTACCATTATTTTTATTTGTTTATATGTACTGTGGCATTTTAGCAATGAGATACCTCATTAATTTTTGTAGTCAATAGAATTCTTTGCCGGCAAACCTATAGAATATCGCACCAAGTATGCACCTCGAATATGAAAATATTTAATTACGTCCTCGCTTTGAGCGCTTTCGTTTTTTCTTCTTGGTATTGCCACCGTTGGTTCCATTTTTGCCGATGTTCGGAGCATTTTCAGATGTTGGACTCGTACAAATAAAAGACTCTGAGCTTTCAATAGTTGCGTTCATTGAATCTTGCCCAGTAACGTCCTCACTCTCACTTTCAGCATCACTTGCACCAGTCTCAACTTTTCTATTATCTGCATCTCGTTCTGCATTACTCAATTCCAAGGATATGATTTTTTCTCTCAATGTTTCCACCTGAATTGTAGCAAGAGAAAATAATATTGAAGAGGTGCCTGATTTTCAATAGGCTCGACAATGCAGAATCCTTACAGAGATACGAAACGTGTAAAACAGTTACTTGCAATTCATGTTAGTACTTACATGTTGATGAGTTTTGGTGAGCTTAGTGGTAATATTAGTGCGGATATGAATAAAACCATACTAATGAGCAGACGTGTGAGACGTATGTTTGTTGTTGAGTGATTATCTATATTGTGAGAGTGAAGGGAAGAAGACTCAAGGCATTGCAAATTTCATTCCAGACGCATGTGATGGTATCTTGTAAAAGTGAGTAATAACAATGAGAATAATAAGAATTATTTTAATACTATAATTGTTAATATTTTTAACCTAAAAACATGCGATTAAGCAATACCAATGTACATTCATGCAAGAGAAGAGAGATTTGTATTGCGCATGAAATGCATATATATATATATATATATATATATATATACACTGAGAGGCTGACACGTCAAAATATTCTTAAAAAATAATCATATCCAATATCCATGTATACTTGAAAATGCGCTCAATATTTTTAAAATAAAAAACGTAAAATATTTGAAGTAATACATTAGAATATAGTAGAACGGATATTTTGACATGGAAGCATTGCTCTTCTTCTTCTTCTTCTTCTTCTTCTTTTTCTTCTTCCTCTTCTTCTTCTCTATTATTATAATAATTTTGCGTGTTTATTTTTACACGAGATGATAATCCCTTCGGAAAAGTAGAAATAGTCTTTGTACATAAATTGGTGCAATTTTCATTCCCTGTGAACTATGACCAATTTTTTCATAGAGTCTTTCTAGGCATTTATTAGTACCTCCCGCTCAATGAGCTTCTCGACGTATTCAACAGTTCGTACACGACGTTCACCAGTGATCTCATCGACGTATTCCTCAGTCCGACGAGTTACCTTCTCGTCAACAATTTTTTCTGATTCGCGTACGGCCTTTGGCGGTCCCACTTTGCTGCGCACGGCAAGCTTAGGAAAATCCGCACTCGAAGGCCGTAATGTAGCGAACTATAATATTTTCAACAACAAAAAAAGAAAGGAAAAACAGATACGAGATACCGTGTGTGAATTTGTTAATTACCGATAGCTTTTCTCATCAATTAATTCAATTATTTCACCCGGATTAAGTATGAAGGATTATTTTGCATTATTATTATATTGAAAAATAATGATAATAAAAAGGAGCAATTAGTAATGTATCGAGTCAAACTTAACAACTTGACTGACTCTTGTTTTAAAAATGATCAATAACAAAAAAGAGAAAAAGGATTAGGTGTAAATGTAATGGAAAATTTCAGTTGAATTTATAATTTTACCTCACTGATTTTTTCACTTGCTTCACCAGTGGGCAGTATTTGAGGCTGCGATGTTGTTAATGAGATGCCATCTGTTTTTGTACTTGATGTATCCATCATTTCATTCATTTTTTTAATCACCATTTGGGCTTGGAGTGCATCCTGCACGATCCACAATACAATACAATTATTATTAAAAATGCCATTCATGCATTTACTAGGAATTGTTATCTATAACATACTTGTTCAAGAGATTTTAGTCTGGCTTGCCTCCAAGCAGCACGTTTTTCGGCTCTAAGTGCCCGTTGTTCCGCTGGAGATAAGTTACTCTCCTCGTCATCATCAGATATCAATCCCTGAAATAAATTCAATTGTAGTGAATTGTAGTAGAATTGTTGTCCAGTAAGTAATTTTAATAAATCCTCTACGTTGTTTACCTCTTGAATCATTTTTTCTTTCAGTCGTCGTTCTGCCTTCGCCGTCCTCACGATACCCGGTAATCCCTTTAATGAAGGCACAGAACTTCGCGAGCTCAATCGACTACTGCAAGTCAATGAGTAAATACGTACTGACAATATTTCTCATAAAAATTTTATTGCATAAACTCGATACAAAAGCCATAGAAAGCAGAATTTAACACACACATCAGTCCTATTGCACAAAACCAGAGAGATTTGCCCATTTACATAACCTTCACACCACTAAATACAATTTCATCAATTTTTCTACGTAATAAGTACACAATTATTCGCTAGTGTTCGTTTGGAACTTCTTCTCCATAGTGGAAAAACATGGAATGCCCTTCTCACAAAATTTTCACATTTATTCATACGTCCATATATACAATAATGGTCCCTTGGTATTGAGAGCGAGATGATTAGGCGAAACACAAGAATAAATTGTTTGAATTATTATTATTATTAGCAAAGCATGAGGCAATGAAGCATATTTATGCAGAATTTTCAGTACTCGCATATCGTAAAAGAGGAATACAAAGAGAATGGCAATACGAATAATAATAATAACAATAAATGAATCATGCAATTCTGCTGCTCATCAAATCTCTAAACTACTCTTCTTGTCCGTTTTAACAATGAATATGTTATTAAAATAATACATAGCTTTATGTATGTGTACAAAGAAGTGATAAAAGAGGTAGATAGAAACCGTTTACAATGGCTATGCGGTGACTAAAAATGCTTCAAGTATATTGAGTGCATGAAAAATCATACCAAAGTGATGAAAAAAAAAATTAATTATTTATTGACCTCACTCGGTCAATTTCTTACTTAGGGCGTCTGTTATCTTGGTCCTCGACAGCATCTTCACACTCATCCATACCCTCCATTTCATCAATCTGTGCCCATGATTTCAGCTCATCCCTGGTAAGTGTTGCAATTTTTTTTTCTATCACACAATAAAATGTTATAATATAATGCCTTATGCTGAATAGAGAATGATGATCGTGAAAAATATTACCTTCTTCGGCTTTCATTTTCTCCACTTCATCTTGACTGAGGAAGCTGAATACTTTTTCTACAAATGGAGAGAAATTCCATAATGTCTTTGCTTTTATGTATAATATAGCTAAGGTATGACAACGAAAAAAAAAAAAAAAAAAAAAAAAAAATTGGAGGGCACTTTCACCTGGTTTTGGAGATGGTTTGAGATGCTCTTCCATTGCATTCTCAAATAATCGCTTTCGATCACTGACCGACATTTTAGCTGGTGTTGCTGGTGTAGGAGAGGGTGTCGGTGATGGCTAAATATAAAAAGAGAGCAATTTAATATTTATCTAGGAAGTTCAATGTCAGTGTGAAAAATTAAAATTAAATCACTAAAAAATGAATAATCTCATCTGTATTTCTACGTTATCACTGCGTGCAAATGAGCTGAGGAAACAGGGAAGAGTACAAGAGATTTAAAAAAAAAAAATGGAAAAAATAATAGAATGTATTAATATACATCAGGTAGTTAATAATAGTGGCATGCATTTAAAACCCACCTCGATGGCTTGTCCAGGAACAGAGCGTGCAATCTGTTTAGTGTTAAAAGAAGTGGGTGTATCAACTTCCCCAAGGCATCCGGGACTTGTGAGTGGCGTTGGTGGCAGCCGAAAACGATTTGTATTTTTTCCACAATCAAAACTCCAACTTCGTTTACATAAATCATCACCAGAAGAAACAGGGGTTTTGTTTAAGGTAGGATGTGTTGAATAATTGACAATTGGTGTGACATCGGTGTGATTATCGTTTTTTTTGTAAGGACTTGGAAGAGTTGCAAATGCTACATTACGTTTATTGGAATTTTTACTTTTTGACGATATTGGTAATGTTTTAGAGTGAAGAGTTTCATCGAGATTAGTTGCCATGCCGTCAGAAAAAGACTTTGATACTTTTAATACTGAAGGTGATGGTGATGTAGGATCCACAGATGTTCCTGATCCCTCATTACTTATTAACTGCAAAGGCTACCAAGAGCAAACCCGTTATCAAACAAAAATCTCGTGTTAGTTCATTGGCCTATTCCATTATATTTTACCTCAATTACTCAAGAACACACATAAGACTACTATCAACAATTATCCATAGGGGAGTCCCTAACTGATTATCACGTTCTATTTGTTATTCTTTTTTTTCAGTTCTTTTATTATTTTCATTCATATAACGCCGTTGTGTCAAGAGAAAAAATTCCGATGGATTCGTATTAACTGAAGGGCTCAGTTAATTTCGATTATCGACAATTAAAAAATTACTAGAAACACTCAACGTCAACATCATTTTATTATTTTTTCATTTCATTATTATTAGATAAATATTCTGATTTTATTTCTTGGTTTGTAATAATATATAAACATCTGGTCCATTAGAGTTATATCAACATATAACATTTATAGAAAATTCTCTGTTTATTGTATAATTAAAATTGCAGAAGTGAACCTCTCCGATGATATGGTTCTCTTCAGTTTTGTTTACTATCCCCTCGCTCACTTTACTAAGAGACAATTCACCACTTTTACGATTTGAACCATCTAAAAGTATCCACCGAAATACCACCGAATTTTACAACTGATGGACGTCTATTTTGTGACAAATGATTCGTTCCGAATCGTAATTTTCAAATCAAAGATTGTTCTTTTGTCCTGTTTTAATCCTAATTTAATATAGGATTTAGTTACCATTCAGTGAAAATCCATGAAAAATTGAGATATTTCTTTCATTTTTTTATGAGACATTCAATCACAATCAACATCCAAGAAATGGAATTTTTTTTAAGTTATAATATTTGTGAATCTCATTAATTATGCCAAATACTTTGGACAGTTTGTAATGTGTAAATTATTTTTGGACTAAATTTTTGGCCCATTCTAGTAATTACGATTCTCAATGATTCCAAATCTGTTACACTGTCCATACATTTTTTCACTCTTGTCTCATAGATTTATCTAATTAGCAGTAAATCGAAACGAGATAATTATTTTAAATTGTGTGTCACTTGTTATCTTATAATTTGCCACTGATGGATGTTTTAACGTTGACAAATTGCGAACCAATTGGTGATAAAGAATAATTTCATACAACCATGGTGATAATTACACAATCATGAAGAAAAAAGGTTATCTAATTGAATTTCTGAAATTGCAAATGTATTTATCACAAAAATATTTACGCGTTATTTATTACCGTCTCTCCTGTAAAATTACGCAGAATTTATCGTGTGATAACTATACACAGTCTCAATTTTCACTTTGTTATGGTGAAAAAATTGAATTTACAAACAGAATAACTGATGGCCGGCGGAAAGTTCAACATATTATTTCTCCTTAAATTTTATTTAATCAATAATGGCAGTAACGGCCACAGATGTGGCGACAATAGATCTTAAAAACTATTCAATAACAATAAAGTCTGTATGGAGGGTGTCCAAAGGGAAATTGAAAAGCCTACTGAAGGAATGTAGGTATAGATGTACGTTTCTTCTAAATGATGATAAGTACGTACGAGTGTTTTATTATTATTATTATTATTATTATTATTATTATTATTATTGTTGCAATAAAGTATATTGGTTTGAACGGTATGTAAACGCGTTCCTGGGCGTGATCAAATGATACTAAACGACTCACTCCTGTCAGAGGGCAGCCAAATTGGTACTCTCACCCTCCATCGTCTGTAAAACACGTCAAACTCACTGTCTCTTCTATTTTTCTATCGCTTTCTTAACCATCAGTGACATGCCGATACATTATATTAACACCGATTTCACGTTTTCATGCGCCATTTAATGAACTAAATTAAAATATTTTATGATATAAATTAATGTAAACTATATTTGCTATATTTTTTCCCATTTAATTGAATTGAATGACATTTATTTTTAACGCTGAGTGTCTGGTGCAATTACGTGCTCACTATCTCATAAATCTCTCTGTGAATAAATAATACAAGGGATAATAATGGCGATGATAATGAAAATTATTGCATCTCAGGCGGTTACAACGACAGGCGTTTTCTCTTGACAAACGACAAAGACCAACGCAACAAGTATTTCTTTTGTTTTATTTATGTGTGTTCTATAGAGTGTCATTTGTGCGAGAAGAACTCTCAGGGATGAATAACAATTATAATTATTATAAAACAATAGAATGACTTAAATTCATGCAGGGGCTGAATTATTTGCAACTTTCAAGAGGAATCAATTGAAAATCGTCTGTTGATGTGCATAAAGTAAAGAAAATTTGTAATCGATTGGAAATATTTTAATGTAGAGGAAAAGGGCTGACACGCAAGTAATTCAAAAAATGTCAGGCAACGGTAGTAGCAGCTAAAAAATGCAAAACAATACTTACGGTCGGATTTTGGGGTGCCAATGTGTGTTTACTCATGACAATGGTAGTTGTTTTAAGATCTTTTGTTCCCCCAGGTGATTTCGGTGGTATTGGTACATCAACTGGACTATTCGGTTTGTTCACTAACGATTCAGCTGCTCGCACTACATCCAATACCTACGAAAATTCATTACATTCTATTCTCTACGATTTCTATTGAAAATTTAATTATACATAACAGAACAGTTAATAATGTTAACCGTGGATATCAATATAATAATTTCCGTAGAATTTTCAAGCGTCAATTTTCCTACTTACACTTTTACTTTATGCAAAAAAATAGCCAGGATAAGACAGTTCATGCTTTGAAAAATGATATGATGTTAATGTTTCTGAGGCGTAATTTGATACCTTTTCGGGTGTCGATTTAGCCCGATGATCCATAAGGGCACGTTCGCGATCTTCCTGCTCCCAAGCTACCATTTCGGCTTTCATTTCTTGTTCCTGGCGTAAGGTCGCCGCCTCCTCGTCATCTCTATCTAAACTAGAGACACTCTGCGAGAGTGACTTCAAGCCGTCAATCGGTGATTCTTTGTGTTCCGATTCAGAACCTCTCGATTCTTTGGAATCTCTACCCCCTGAGAGTGTTAATAAATATTCCACTTCGGTTTTATCATAACCCTTACACACAACGAGAGTAATTGTATTTCCCGAACAACGGAGAACATTTACGGCCTCCTGATGCGTTGCGCCCAAAAGAGATGTGCCATTTACTTCCAATAGCCTCATACCAACCTGGTGTCAACCAACAGTATAGTGTATCATTTTTTAAAAATTATTATTTGCTCGGCTGATGATAATATTACTGTTAAAATAAAAATTACCTTCAGTCTACCATCTCTCTTAGCTGCCCCACCGGAATTGATTTTCGATATGAAAACCCCCTCATCACTACGATCCAATGGATTACCTCGTTGTCCACGTAATCCACCTTTTATATGCATACCCAATTTTTCGCCAGATTCTTTAACAATCACCATCTCCTAAAAATGAAATCCTTATCTTTTTGCCATTCACTTTTCTCAGCTCTATCTCAGCCCAGAAGCCAAAACATAGAGCTCAAAAAAATTATAATATAATAAACACCACTATTAGCAAATAAGATGTACTATGGGCGTCAAACAACAGCAAGAAGCACAAAAAGCTGCTGTTTACAAAAATAAAAATCCGCAAAAAAAAAATTTCCTAGCAGAAAAGTCATAATTAATTGTCAGAAAATTCATCACTTTCAATTATTGCCATCGGGGTTATAACGGGCAGAAACGTTTTCACTTTGTTTTTACTTACTGTCACCGGGATGTACTCTATTTCGACCAGCTTGGACAACAATGGAATAATAAATGCCAATTGCGCAGTTGAAGTTGAACGAGTTGAATAGCATAATTAATTAAAATTTTTCGAAATTTCACGAATCAACTTTGAGCTGTTTAGTAGAGTGGATGTTATTTTCCAAATTGTGTATTTATAGATATATTTAGAATATTTTTTCCAAACACTTGTCGATAATTCTTGGTGTTTAGACTACCGTTCAACTGTTTTCAAATCTCCAATTTGAATTTTATTATTTTTTCATAATTATTGCATAATTATTTCCAATCTAAAATAAATTGATATTGTAGATATCCAAGTGAAAATCCTTAAGTCGGCAAATAACGAACACCCTACTGTTTAGTCCGACGACTACGACAAAAAAATAAATATTAAAAGTGAAACTATTGGCGTGCGGCGTTCATAAGGGCGTCAAGCATGAGCAACTAATCACCGTGTTAAAAGCTGGAAATATTAATTACTGTAATTTTCAAATGTTCACGGCAGAGTGATAATTATTCTTTGAACCTGATAGCTTTCTGGAAGTGGATCGTGCTGAACTGTAAGAACTATCGAGTCCCCGGGCCTGAGTAACTCCATTACAGCTTCTTGATGTGTGGCTTTCGTTACATCTGTTCCATTTACTTTTAATATCCTGTCGCCCATACGAAGTTTTCCAGATTTCGCTGCTATACCGCCAGGTACCACCTAAATAAATCAGTTGAACCCAATTGAGCGGCTAAATGAACTTGTGTCGATGAAAAAAAAAATTTTGCAAAAGAATTATTTTTCTTGTCGAAAAGTTATAAATCATATCCAGATCATATAAGCCGGTGGTACATAAAAAAATATTCAATGTTTTCCTCTTTACTTCCATTGGTGGTTGTAATATTATTAAAGGTGTATAGAAATATCAGAAAATTACTCACATGAGATACAAAAATTCCTGGCTCTTTCGAACCAAAGGGCGTACAAGAATGATCAGTTCCACCGATGATACTGAATCCGAGAGAGCCCTCCTTCAAGAGGATGACATCCTACAAAAAAAAATGTATGATTTAATGAAAAATTCAGAAATATGAAATGGTTGAGGTGAATAATGCGATTAAATAATGGCCCATTTGAGGAAGGAAAGTGGGAGGAAGGTGGACAATCAAATTATGTTACTTTGTAGTTATTACGTTTTACAACGATTTATTTACATCAGCTTGCATAAAGGTGTAATTCATTAGGTATTGTGATTACTTACCTCAGTTGAAGTGCCATAGATAATCAAACTCAAGACCTGATAAATTTCAGTCGTATAGCATTCAACGCAACTTGCCCATTTCAATATTGGAAAAATAATTAAAGAATCTATTTCGATATCCATGAATTTCCTCCAATACAAATAAAAAAATTTTTCGATATTCAAATTAAAATTTCATAAAGAGGAAAAAAACTAGGATAACTTGCGTTGAAATATTTTTGAAAATATTATAATTCTCATTCTAAGTCGAATTGATTGGATTAGGATGAGATTATTTGATCGATGAAAAACGTGAAAGGAAATGTATCAGCGTGAATTGCCAAAAAGCATCTAGTTGTTTGAAAAAGAAACAACAACAAAAATAATCTATTCAAGTGATAGAACTACAAGAAATGACAAACAATCTACAAATACAAATTGAGCAAAAACCGAATTGCGTCGAGGTGAAACATACCTCAATAATAACCGGTAGCACCAGATGATTGTCAGTAACACGTGTGACGACAGTCTCGGTGAGTGTGCTTTTAGTGATGACTTCAGTAACTTTACCGAGTGTAGTAGGCGCTGGTGGGAAATTAACATCACCGGGAAGATGATCAGGCTGCTTGATAGTAACAGTGACGACAGGACCTTGCTGGGAGTCTGGCGAGGGCGAGGAAGTCGGAGGTCGTAGGAAGTGAGCGGGAATCATGGCCTGAAATTCCTCGTTGGTGATGGGCTTCGGTACCTGTATATCTTCCTGCGGTGAAGTTGATCTATCTCCGCTCGACTGCTGCTGTTGCTGTTGCTGCTGCTGTGCCACACTCTGCCTTGGTGCTGGTTGTGGATAAGGCTTTGCTGCTTTTTCATTGTCCGTTAAGCCATTCATTTTAGGAACACCATTGAGAGGCTCGCCTTTGAGCCCTAATGGTGCGGGTGACGGTGACGAAGTCAGTGCCGGGGGTGGTGGTGGTGGCGGCAGTGGTGGTGGTGGTGGTGGTGGTGGTGGTGTTGGTGTATTGGACGTTGGACTTGAAGATAAAGCTTTGTCGGCATCAATCGATCGACGATAACCCGTGTAACCTGGTCTATTTGCCATATAACTATTTGCCGAATATAACCCTGTGTACGGTTTTGGTCCACCTATTAATCTTGGTGATTTTTCTGATGGGGTTAATTGCAGAGCTGGATTTGCCTGGGAAAAAGGTATTTCGCGCTCGACTACCAGTCGAACGAACCTTTCCAAACCAGTCAACATTCCCACTGCCTGCTCGTGACGAGCTCCAGTCATTTCGACTCCGTTAATCTGAATACAAAAGTAATTTATTCCACAGCATCTGATGATTTTTGTCAGTCTAAATATCGAGGATTACTCACAGATATTACTTTATCGCCTACGAGCAATTTGCCGTCTTTCTGGGCTACCCCACCGTCGGTTATCCTCGAAATGAAGATTGCCTGTTGAAAATATAATTGTGAAAAGCTCTAAGATACCCAATACTGGAGGCTATTTTATAAATTAAATTACATCTGTATTGTCCTTAGCTGGTTGTGAACCCTTCCCTCCAGCGATACTGAATCCCAAGCCATTTTGATCTCGAATCAAGGTTGTGTGAACGAGAACTGGCACTAATGGTTCTTCTGCTCTCATTGCCGCTAAAGGTTCGGGAATTTTTTTCATCACCTGGAACAATAATAACAATGATAATAATAATGAAGCTCATATCTTTCTCCTCTTGATAATTCAAATGACAGTCAAGGCAATTATCATTTTCTCTTACTTTGTTGGCATCACGTGGGAGACTATCGCCATTCTCAAGATTGTGTGATATTGCAGTTGATGAGACGTATGAGGTAGCGCTTGGTGCGCGACTTGTACTTAAGCTCGAGCATAGTGAGTCTTTTCTCGTTGACAGCTTTTATTCATTGAAAAAATGATAATTATTGTTATTAATTAAGTTTTAATAATGAAGAATGTAGATAGCATACCTCTGATGATGGTACGATCCGTGTAACCTCTCTGAGAATAACAAGTATGAGTATACGACCACATGCTTTTAAAACTTCAACTGCATCATAGTGGTCTACATCAACTACTGAAACTCCATTTACCGAGATAACTTTGTCACCTACTCGTAAACCAGCCAAGTCTGCTGGGCCACCTAAAGTCAACCAAGCAAAATATCATTATGTATTGAATGCTAAAACAAAATTTAATTGGAAGAATGTTTGAAAAATATCTAAAGCAGAAAATTAAATTCATTAAACTCAAAAAACAAACACACATATGGTCCAATTTACCTTCAGTAACTCGAGAAATGAAAATTCCTTCATCGTCGCCTTTGAATGGCGTCGATCCTATGCCGCCAGCTATTGATAATCCCAAGCCTCCAGTTGTTCTCTCAATATGAATTTCATATTGCTCTTCACGTACTTCCAACGTTGGTTCAACATCTGAGGTAGCCCCTTTATTAAAGTATACAAATCAAATACTGAAAATATTCATGAGGGCAAGCTTGATATCAATATCAGTAACTCAATTTCATTATCATAGATAAAATATCCCCAATATTTCACCTTTGCTTTTTCTCCCATTTTTCACAAAAATTCTTAATCTTCTTGGCGTTTTTTTTCTCAACATGATATCTTAGAAATATCAAAATATCACTATTAAAATTTTCACTGTTCCGTTTAAAACCGATATAGGTAAAGCCGTGACAAATGCGAAGGCGTACTAGAGAAGGCCAACCATACTATACCATTATGGATTAAAGATAATGCAACGATGATACGGAATGAGTAACGTAAATATATCTTATCATCTGTTCAACGTGAAAAAAAAATGTAGGTTGACATTTCTTTTATCAACAAGTAAGATATCGTCTCCATTTCATTATGCAATCAACATTAAAATTTTAGTAAATCAATTACCTTGACTGTGCATATCATAATTATCGATGGATTCCATTGGAAGACTGACTGAAGCCGATGTGTCCTCACTTTTCTTCATCAGTGCCTACAGAAAAATTAATGATTAATTTTTTTACAATACGGAGAGCTCATTTAAAGCAAGAGTTAACATATATTCAAAATGGTTATTTGTTGGATATTATAACAAGTTCAGAAATAAAATTCATGTCAACGACAACGGCTATTCACTATCTCCACCCAATAATATTCGCAAACATGATAAAATTGGTATGACAATAAAACTCTACCTAAATAACATCGCACTCATGTAAATATAAAATGAAGCCTCAAAATTTCGTTCTCCATTAAGATTTTCTTCACAGAATTGGCGTATGATTACATGGTAATTAGCCATATATAACGATTCTCACTGATGAGTATGGATAGAAAAAAGGGAAAACCCCTTTTCGCCGTGGAAGTGTAGGAAGTGGTGAATCTATAGTCAGTTTGGAAAAACAGCCAATTCTTGGGGTAAAGCCATAAACCACCATAAATTAATGAAAAATAATGAATTATGAGAATATAATGCACAGAGAGAAAGAGAGAGAGAGAGAAAGAGAGAAAGAGAGAGAGAGCGAGAGAGAGAGAGAGAGAGAGAAGAGCAACATTAATTATACACCATTAGGTATTTAACTGAACACGTCATTTAATGACTGTACGCATTCCCAAACCTTACTCTCACCCTAGGAGAATAACAACAGGCACCCCAAAAGCATTAGTAATAATAATTGAGAATGATGCTGTGTTGCATAGCAACGAATCTCTCCTCTCTCAGCAGTTTTTAATTGTTGCGACTAATGGAAATTTGAGAAATCCCCTGACGATTGGAGAATTGAACTGAAGAAAAATGATGAAATCGCTCATATGCTTTATGAAATAGCTGACCTGGGCGATGATTGAAGCAACTTTATCCTTGTCAATGGAGTCATGGACTCGCTTGTTTTTCAAATGGTGAGGGGTGTCACGACGATGCAGCCTGTTTGGCTTAGCCGTTTCCCCCCCAACCTCTGAATCCGCTTCTTCCGATATTGTAAATTCAACATGTCTCTGCGTATCGTCATACTGAGATTCATCTTCATCCCTATCCCGATATTCCAACACCGACCCCTTCATCTCAGCATCCTGAAACAGGATTTTTTTTCCCGGATTTTTTTTTCTCTCATTCTACCTCAATCAAATTAACTTTCCTCGTAATTTTTATAACCATTAGTAATGATTAACTGTTGATTAAAATTCCATACATTGTCTGATTCATTAGACAAAAGGATTTTTCAAAAACCTCTTGATTCTCATTTCTGACCTATTCTCCATGACAAAGGATTTACAATAAATACTATTTATATACTTACTGATGAATGGAATTGTGGCTCTAATGTTGGTTGAGAGGACGTTTGATCTTTCTCAGTAGACATATGTTGAACTGAGTCATGGTTGACAGTTTCCCTTTGACAGGCCGTAACTTGCTCGTGCGTATTATTATGATATGGTGGCTCTGGTTGTTCCCCTATATCCTGAGACTGAGACTCCTCATGTGAATTGTCAAACTCAGTTTTATCAAGACCAAATGTTTGCGACACATCCTGACGAGTTAAAGTTGGAGATTTTCAGTGAACATTTATTGATTACATACATAAGTGGTTAATCAAGTTGTTCCTAGTTAAAGTACCTGTTCGTCAGTGGAGCCTGATCTGCTGTCATTTTTTCCTTTGCTAAATAATTTGTGAGCCTTTGCTTTCAGTTCCTTTGGATGCGGAGTGTTTTGCCTTACGAATGGTGTCTGCAGGGATAAACAATAATCAATCAATTAGACAAATTAATACAATGAACTTTACTCTAACTGTAGGGGAATGGAGAACGTGCTGACCTCCTTGTCTGCCTCGGGTGCATCATCAGTAAATTTGACAGAGTGTGTTCTCGATGCCTCTTTTTCTTGCCAATTTTCGTCATCGCTACTTCCTAATTCTCGCATTTCACCTCCTGGAACAACTCCTCTCAAACCGGCCAACATACCAAGACGTCCTGGCTCTTTGCAAATACAAGAGAGGAAAAGAGAAGAAAATGTGACATTTACGAGTTACCAAATAATTGAAATTCAATTTGTAAAAAACGTTCACAGAGAGATGAAAAATAAATACCATGTGCACCGCTGGTATGATACTCCAATTGAGGCAAAAGGAAACACGTCAATACCTCTTGGCCAGTATCCTCATCTACATCTGTTTGGAAAGTCAACATTGGTTGTGCCTGATTTTCACTCAACCATACTGCTTTTAAATTCAAGTTAATCAGTGTGTATGGCAAATACTGCAATCTGACAAATAATTATAATCAATTACACAATTATTGGTTTGATAAATTAGAAAATTTTTTTAGGAAAATGACACTCGTATATTACCGATTTCCAGATACGTCCAGCACATGCAGTGCTGTGCATTGACCAACTTCTGATGGTATGTATTGAAGTTTGTTGTCGCGAAGAGATAAAACTCCTAAATTTGTTAAATTACCTGTGAAAGGAAAAAAATTAATGGTACCATTAATTTCATGAATTAGGCATTCGCATAAAGTAAAATGAAATTGATTTGTCCATTACCTATTTCAGTTGGCAATGTCTGCAAACTGTTACGATCGACATTTAAATTATTTAAATTCAATAACTTTCCAATGGAGATGGGTAATTCAAATAAAAAATTTTCAGTTAAAATAAGCTCCTGCATATTTTCACAATTTCCAATGCAAGGATTCAATACTGATAGTCTATTTTGATCGACTTTTAGGATCGTCAGTTTTCTAAGCTCGCCAAGACCATCTGGTAATTTTTCAATAACATTTTGTGATAAATGTAAATCAGTTAAAGATTCAAGACCGCCAATTTCCTCTGGTAAATCCTCAAGACGATTTTCTGAGACATCCAAACATGCGAGTTTTTTTAATTCACCAATCTCAGGTGGTAAGTGCTGAAGCTGATTATGATCCAACCATAATTCTTGGAGGGCTGGTAATTTGCCTATGTGTGGTGGCTACAAAAAATATTCCACGTATATACATATATATTCTATTGTATAAATTGACATTGTATTAATAAAATATTTACCAATTCTTCGATTTCATTGTCACCCAAATCAAGCCTTTCCAATTTCGACAATTGTGAGAGTGATTCAGGTAACGATTTTATGAGATTCTCTCTCAGTTCTAGTGATTGTAGTGCCTCCAAACTGTTAATGAATTTACACAAGCTATAATACTTCTATTCTACATATTATTCTTAATAGTCAACGTTCAAGTTACCTTCCAAAGTCTGGTGGTAAATTCGTAAGAGACATATCATTAAGGCCAAGAACTGTAAGGTTTCGCAGTTTTACAAAACCCGCTGGTAGCCTGTGGAATTTTTTAAACTTTGCATTCGTATTCACTAATAAAGCAACAACTTCACTTATAAAATAGAAAAATAACAATGATGATGCAATTTATCTCTTATTAAATTGCCCTATTTCATGCATTTTTATATAAATCACCATCGACTAATTAACCGATTGAAACTCAGAGAACACTAACCTGGGGATTGGATTACTGCTGAAGTCCGCCACCTGTAGGGCACGTAAATTTCTGATGTTCTCAGGAATGTCTGGTATGTCTAAAAAGAAAGTGAGAAAAACGTCATTGAACTGAAGGACGTTCAATTATTATGGTAGTGATGTAATCGGTGTTGCACTTTTGCGCGCGGAAATAATGCCAAGCACCTGGTGAATAGTCATACAACATTTATTCCGCAATGTTGCCGTATTTATGAGCGTTCTATTACTAAAAACTGTCTGCAAAATTTGACCTATTTTTTAAATAAAAATATTCTCAACCTGTCGAGAGTTTATAATTGAATATGATTGCCGGATGTGTCGTTGCATTTACTTAGCGTTGGTACCTCAAGAGAATGGCCTATTAATCTTTTAAGAGAGATTATTCCCCTTGCCTCGAGGAAAAAAGGGAGCGAAAGGGAAGGAAAAGATTATATTGATAAAAAGAGAAAATTACATCGTATCCTACTGAGGTTGACCACTGCACATTGCACATTGCACGTTGCAATGTCTCAGTTTTCTTTCGAATGTCGCCCTCTATTTCTCATCGTATGCAAGAGAGAAGTGGTGGTAAAAGACAGTGTGTAGCAGTGAGCCTTCGCCTTGAATTTTCCTGTTTCTAACTTGACCGTGACAGGTCACATTGTTGCTGCAATATTTTATGCCCGGTCCAAAAATAAAAACATTATAGTATAAAACTTAAAAATTATCTTCCTCTTATCCGATAGTTGTCAATTATCAACAGCCATAGACAATTGATAAATAACATTAATCCAGAAATTTCTATTTAAAATAAAATGTCTTCTGGTCCTTGTCAAAAAAAAAAATGAATGTATCATAGAATAAAGTAAAAAAAGCCAATATTCAATATTCAATATTCGCTTTATACACATATTATTGAATTAAATCACCCAGAGGGGACTTGGCAAAGTGGAATTCACATAGTTTCATACGGGTAACGAAGCAAATTCTATTGATAGTTCGAATCATGGTTAATTCCAATTTAGTTATTAAGTAAAAGAGGAAGTGGTCTCTCAAGTGTACGTGTAGCTCTTGGATTGACACTCGTTGGTTGTGAATGAGACGTATTTCATATAGGGTATGACTCCGACACCTGTTGCCAGCCTATCTAGGATGCTCTATATGAATATCTAACGGATCGCGGCTCTGCATGAAATATAGTTATAAGCCTTCAAACTGATTTCAACCCCAAGTGTAAAAAGTATGGAGAGTAAAAGTGTAATGTAAAAGGTATGGAGATGCGATGTCTTGTATGTTCATTTTTTATTTGGGATTATCCCTCCACTAAAGAAAGGCGGGGGAAAAAAAAACGGCGAGAAGAGAAAACTGGAAAATTGAAACGACACCGCAACTGGAATCTCTCCAACGAGTTCCTGGTCTTTTGCACGAGAGAGGATCATGTCTCTCGCTTTAATAGATTGCGACAGTGCCCTTTTCACCGCAACATTGATGGTAACTTGATTTGCTATATGTAAAGGGATATCTTGAACAGCAAATTGAATTTCAATATTTTATAGAATAGATTCCAAGAGTTGATTGAGAGGGGATTCAATTGTTTCGATGTTATTCCTCGGAAATGTATAAATGTTGATGGGAGAGGGTAAAATAGGGGGAGGAGGGCTGGAAAGTGGATTGGAAGTTGGATGACAATAGCAGGCGTATGCTGAGGTTTCCTTCTATGAACAATATATCCAACCAACAATGTAGTACTTTCAATGAATTTACGAGAAGTCATTGCAGTTTGATATCCGTGTGCGTCGATCGTGCGGTTTTAGTTGTGCAACAGGCCGTTTCGATAGCACGTTTTACATGAAGAGTACTCAGTATCATAGTCATAATGGACAATTGCTATTCTTTATTTTTCTAGTATTCAATAAATTGTAATGAGAGCGTCCGAGCGTATTGGTGACCATCATCGGTTGCCTCCTATATCTAGATCCTTGACCTCTTTCCTGCGTTTTCCTATTACTACGGCATTTCACCCATTACTCATCGATATCATTATTACATTCCATGAATATCGCAATAAAGAGAAAAAGAATGGCTCAGTGAATTCCATTATGCCATTTTCACCTAAAATGAACAATTGTTGAATTGAATATAACGTTGAATATAAGGTTAATGTAGAATTGAGTTTGTGGTGAAGTTCGTTCATGACATATATTCTTCCTAACTCCGTTCATTCACCTTTTACAATACTATCACTATGAGGAACATCATTTAGATTTACAGAGACTCTTGGCTGACGAATAAGTGGAGGTTGTTGAAGTATTAGTTGCGGTTTCAACAAACTTGTTGGTACAATACAAGCACATATTGTGCCCCAGTTTTCCGAACCACCCCATTTTCAATGTACCGAAGGCCTTGCATCGGCTAGACAGATACACCCCAACTACACACGAGCTTGACAGTATATTTTTTCCTCCCGACTTCGATCGTATCGTTATACCTCCGCTGAATGTTCATTCTTTATACACTAAATATACACTTGAAACCATTTTTTAATTTTTTTTTTGCACGATTAATTTCATCCTACAATGAAACATAGAATGCTATTTCCAATGGAACTATACTCTTACGAAAAGCTGGGTTAATTGGTGGCGCACCTTTGTGTTCAATAACAGTTCAACTGGTTAGTTCTCTGGCAATTGTAAAAATGCAGGAAAACCGCACCTTGGCATATAGCTTTATAGGCAGCATATTTGCAGCTGCACAATGAAAAAGCTCCAACCAATCGAAGTCATTGAATAATAAGGATAAATGAAATTTAGCTCTAATGGTGGATATAATGTAATTATGAGGAATCATTAAAGAAGTATTGAGTTATTTATTTATTTATTTTTTTTTTTGTAGAATGCAGGGAGTACCAACGTACGTACTTGTGAGTAACCAAGCGTACAGTGTTGTTCGTCCGGAAGGGCTTGAAGGCAAAAGAAAAGAGTGGGAGGTACATTATACGCCGATGCACAAGAGAAAATATGTGGAATTCTCAGGCAAGTAGCTGTCCGCAATGAAAATGATCTACTCTATAGAGAGATGGGTTGCAATGAGAAATATTTTGAGCAACTGCTTTTCCACTTTATCTCTCCAATAACATGACAGATAATAAGTATATGGTATACTCAATAATCATCTACTACAAAAGATTAGAAAATTTTCAAATTCACCAAGAATTATTTTTAGTTCAAGGCACCAAGCACTCACAACACCACGCCCATCTTCCCCAATTAACATGGAAGAGAACGAAAGAAAGAGAGAGGTATAGAGATAGTTAACATCGAGGTCATGGGGTTTAAAAAGAGTCAAATAAAATGCCTCTATTACGGCGGGGATCATAATTTCATTATTACAAATTTCGCTATCTCTCGGTGGTCGTCATATACAAGAGGCCCTTAATTTGCATTCATTAGACGCCAATTATACATAATAATTTGACTGACGCTTCTGTCATTCATTCGCATCCAATACAATGAATCATCTGAATATTGGATTTCAGTCTCACCGATATGATTTATTATTTTTTGTGAATATTTTCCGTCATTGTTTAGTTGACAAAATAACTCTCCTACTCATGACACCTGCAGATCCGAGAAGTTATCTACACCTGTCACATGTTATTTATCCGAAGAATACACTTAATTCGACTAGTCGTTAAACTTGTTATGAAACGGATGTTTGAACTAAAAATTCCAAATTCATTTCCAAAAAAAAAAAAAAATTATACAGCAAATAAAGCAAATATACAAACGACGTTAAGAACGTACCAGGGAATTATTTATTAAACAACTGAATTGATTTGGATCTGCAACAAGCATATATTATAGTCATAAGCACTAAATTGTCTGAAAAACATACTGTCAGAAGTGATGATTCATAATTATCATTTTTTCCTTCTGGAATGCCCTCCATTACCGTTGAATCAACGATTACAGCGTACTAATGGGTATAACAACTCATCGAAATACCATGCGAACAAGGCGGAAATACCAAACGATGCGCGGTTGTAACAAATAGTTCTAGTGAAAGTATTTTTTTTTGTTTTCAATAATTATCCAGTAGTGTCTATGAAAAAATTATTTTTCGTCGCGGTGTACTCATAGTTATAGTTTCAAAAAATAATCTTTCAAATAAATCCACTCTATGTTTTAAACTAGTAATATATCGAGAATTCTCTATTGTTTTGTACGACTCGGATAAATTTTATTCATCTCCGGAAACGCGTCCGAGTTTCGCACAGTTAAACGATACTACCTATACCACCCCGAGTGATCTCTACCACTTGGGTTCAAAGAGAAAGGGTATAAGACAAATTCTAACGAGAATGTAACGGGGATTCATACTTCGGATTACGATTAAACATTAAACAAAGATGCATTGGAAAATGTTCAATTTACTCCATGGACATATGCGAAAAGTTTATAGTTTGAAGTAATTATTACTCTGGAACTAGCAATTTTTTTCGCAAAAGTGTAGAAAAAAAAAAATTGAAATTCTAGAGTGAAAAAATATTCGTGACAAATACCTAAATAGCTCCATATAGTCAATGCATTAGAGTTACGATGCTTGGTTATACAACAGTGAATACTGCACGTGATTACCTTCAGCAATAGCTCATCCAGTGAAAACGAAAAAAAAAACCATCTGATACTTCGAGGGCAATGCAAACACACGTGATTCTATTTCAATCTTCGTTAGAGAGTTAAACTCCCATTGGAACTACACAGTTGAATGTTTACATATTCCCATAGTACGTCAATGGCATATTTTTAAAAAGTATCAACTGGCCATTTGACCGACATTGCAGATCGAAGGTAACGTGAAGGATGTTACTTTCTAGACGTTCCTGTGTGGTTCATGATTTCTTAATGACCCAGTACACAAGAGTACCCCCGGTCTACATACAGACACAGTGCACGCAGTACGCACTACACAGACAATAGGCATCTCAAAGATGCGTCAGTACCGGTGTCTGACCATGTGTCACACAGTCATCCTTGGTATTGATATTATCAATCAAATACAGCCAACAACTTCTAGAATCCTACAGAAAAAAATCTTTTCAACTTACCATTTCTTGATACATCAAGTTCGACGAGATTTTCGAAATTCTGAATGTCTGGTGGTAGTCGGTGTATTTCATTATCGCTCAAACCAAGTTTTCTGAGTCTCTGCAGTCGAAAAAAATTCTGCAATAATAAAGAAGAATTTCCATTTTAAAAAATGCTATAAAATGAGAATTGCACGCTCCACAAACGCAATGTGACGAGCACTTGGATCGTGTGAAGTGAGGACACGTCGGATGGACGACGTAATAATATGAGGTGCATCAAACATTTTTATTAAAATTTTTAATAACAAGAGTAATGAAGGTTTTTGATAATAAATACCTTGGGGAGATCTTTGATGTGATTGGCATCGAGCAACAGTTCCTCAAGACTGCGTGAATAACGTATCAAATCATCAGGTACGCTTGACAGCGAGCAGTGACGCTTGTCAACGTATTCCACCTGGCTATTACACCCACGAAATATTGGAATACAACGGAACATGGTGTTTTATTCCACAAAAGGTAACAAACACCAACACAAAAAAAAATAACACTGACTTGCTCAGCGGTGATACCAAGGCATCATTGTCACCGATATTAGCCACTAATGCACACACATTCAGAGCCCATTCCTAACACTTTAATTAATCCATCTATTCGACATATTTATTCCGCATTTAGATTCGCTTTTTATTCTCACAACCGATCGGTATGGAAACGCTAATTAACACAGGAAATCAAGTACGTTTGACTGATCGCCGGGTGAGTATAGATAATGAAAAAAAGTATCGTCAATATGAAATGGACAAATGCGGCAAAAAACACACACCTTTACGCCCTACCGCCCTAATCAGCTTCGAACGCGCTCACGGCTTCGGATGTTTTACGTCACCAAACCTTCCTCTTGGTTCAGTCCGTTCAGTCGTTCTTCCTCGGTTCCCCTCACTTGGCTTGACTTGGCAGACTTGGTTCTATGTACTCCCCCCCACCTGCTTCCAACTCCAACTCCAACTCCAACTCCAAAACCAAAACCAAAACCAAAACCAAAAACCTTCCACTCCCACTCTCACTTACCACAGCGATATCCACGGTAAAAGACAATACTATCTTTTCATTTCAATTCCTCGCACTCAATTCCATCGACAATGGACAATGGTCTTTTTCTCCACCAAGAGACACCAAGCTCATTTGCTCTGTCGACTCACTCTCACTCCTAGTCACTCCTCTCATCCTTCTCCATTCGCCATTTCGGCCATTTCATTTGCCACCCATTGGAGGCATTGGAGCCATTACCATCATTCACACAGACAGAGATACATTCACCCAACAATACAACTCTCTTCTTTCTATCCCCTCGACAACACCTCCATATGGATTCTCAAATGGAAGCCGTACTCAAAACTCAAATATCTTTCCCTATATAGAACATTTTAGTACGTTAGTCAAATACAAGTCCCTGCGCGCGTGCGCACTACACATCCAAGTAGCTTTTTCAGTACGTGGTAAATTTAAATTATTTTAACATTGCACTTTTAAAAGTAGCAAATCTATTGCCAATATCTTAATTCATTCAGTTTATTCAATTGAGTGTATATAATATCCAATTTAGAAGCAGACAGTCAATCTGCAGTGTGCAAGGTATTTTTTTCCATACATATCCACATCATCTCAATTAGAGGTGTATCTGCATAATCACTAGCCACATAACACTCTGTCTTTCTTCTCTATTTCACCAATAATATCCCCAATAAAACAGTCATGAAAAACAGGTTTTTCGTCAAATCTCGAGGTAATTCATTTGAATTTCTCAACATAAAACATCGAATAAATGGTTTGTTAATAAAGTGATACTAAAGTTCAATCAGTACAGTGAAAATATACGAAATACTCCGGAAATAATAATGGAACTAATATCAGAATATTTGGAAACCTATGAGGGACGTGATAAAATTTTGAAAATTTTATCATACACTGCGAAATTGGCGACAGTTTTTCCGAAATCTCATAAGACTGCTGATAAATTTAAATATTTTGGTAGTCAAATTAGTAATTGCAGGGTTATGTTGCGACTCTTGGATGATATACCAACTTTACATTATGCATTGACATATGGTTTCAACAGGCAGGTAATAATTATATAATTATCTAATTAATTCAATTATAATCCGAGGAGCTCCTTTATTCAAATAAAAATCTTCATATTTTTTTCAACAAATCTTTTACATCTTCAGGAGCCTGACCAGACGATCAGATGGCTGGGGATTATACAGATGATCATTGACGTTATTTATTCACCCGTTGAGACAATTGCTTGGGCTGGTGCACACAAATTAATAACCATAGATGTTGAATTATGGGACAAGACATGCACTTGGTTCTGGATTGTTTCTCTTTATCTCTCATTTATGAAGTAAATTATTGGGACACCGTGAAAAAATAGATAATAATACTCCCAAATTGACTGATATTCTATTTTTGCTTTTCCAGATCCGCCAAGAAGTACAAAAACTTATTAAAGCACAAGAGTGTGATTTCAATTAATAGTCCGTGGGTAACAATATTGTTTAATCATAAGACTTATATGACATGATGAATTTGTTAAAGTATTTTTTACAATGTTTTATTTTAGGACTGAACTGAAGACAATAGATAAAAAATTGACGAATGAAATATTGACTTGTGGAAGAATGCTGATCGATCTCAGCTATGCTATCAGCTATTTACCACCGGGGACACTTTGGGGTGGTAAAATGATTACTTGGCAAATTGGAGCACTTGGAACTGTATCATCAATCATTTCTCTTTATCAATCACTGAGTAAACGTGTTCCTACAAAAAAATGTCTCTAAATGCATTCAAATAGTTCTAGCAGTTTCAAATGTGGTGAAAGAAATATTACTCTTTTATTGGTGAAGGATTCTAGCAATCGTAATTTTACTGATTAAAAGCTGAGGCAATTGTTATATAGTTTGTGAACTTTCAAGAGTTTATGGCGTTTTAATAAATTTTTCTTAAAAACTTTATTGATTGATTATGAAATATTTGCTGTATTGGAAAAAGCGCCTATTATACACCTAAATTCTCAACAAAGGTTATCATCGAGTAGAGTAGAAAAAATTCAACCATTGATCATTTTATTATTTCCTTCAATTGAAACATGGAACAAGGTTACATGAAACTTTTTATGAGGCTTACAACTGCTTACTCTGCGAAATGCATTCTATTATTTCGCATACAATCAAAGTAGGTGTAGCTGATAATCATTGGGTATTTGAATCTGAAAAATGACCTAATATTTACGAATTAACGAGAAAATAAAATACACCTGATATGAACTTAAAAAAAAGTGAAGAGTATTTCTCCACTCAAAAATTAAAAAAACACTGATCGCCATTAAACAGGTCATATTTAAAGAAGATCCCCTTTTCGTTCAGTTTTATTGTTTTGGCATTCATTACTTCTCTTTTTATGCAATCGCATGGAACAATTTTTCCTATGTAAGATAAATTCATAATTATTTAAATAAACTACATTGCCTGTACTACAATCGCATGAAATCACAGGAATAGTGTGATTTTTAATACAATAATTCTTTAAAAGCTTCATTTTTCAACTTTGAATTTTAAAAAGCCTGGCAATTATGCGCTTCAAAATGTTTTCACTATTATAATAAGACAACCCTGTGTTTCAACATATGCAATAATTTCTAAAATAATTTTATGTTTTCACATTGGTAATAAAACATCACGGAGATTAATATTAAAAGGCACGGCTGATTAAAAATGTTGATAACTCAGCTGATTCTGTCATAAAAACAAGGTTCTTTAAAATCTCTACGTTACAAACAGTTTTAAAGTATATCCGTGATTGAAATCAATTTGCTTGAAATGGTTTTTTTTTTTATTATATTCTATGTCTATCATCAGAAATAGGAATGAATTGTGCAGAAAGACTGAAGCTATGGATAAGAAAAATAATCCATGTTTTCTACTGGAAGCAATACCTTATATTTGTCTATTCAATTTTTTCATACCCACATCAATAGGAATATTAGGAGAAGGAAGAAGAAGCATAAGAGAGGGTAAGCAAAGTAAACAAGAAAAATGAGAGTAGTAATCTGCAAAGATATGAATTTTAATTTAACAGATTTTTTTAAATCAAGTGAAAAAAAAAAAGAAAGCATGAAAAAGCATGATTTTTTTCATTTCCATACTGGGGAATGAATGAAAAGTGGCCAGAACTTAATTTTACCCATTTACACTTGAGATTTTTGCTTGAAACAAAAGACAAAAAAAAAAGTAAAAATAAAATGAAAAAAAAAAAATTCATAATAGAATCACTACAATTGCACTTGGAAATTGTAAACCGTGTACTTTTTTCTTATTAAATTTCGTCAACAAATAAATTAGTCTGTGCTGAATCGCCCATAATGAATACAGTTTTGATTAATTGAGAAAACAGTTTCACTCGCGTATCACAGACATTATGCTACATTGTTCTTCTCACTAACTTACGGCCCTCTTGCAGTCCTGATTAGCCCAAAATCGTTACATTATACAACTGTATGTAAAAAAAAATATATATAACGACACAATAATGAATGAAAGTATTGGATAAATATCGTGCCTCAAGTAACATCATTAGAACTTTTTTTTTTCTACACAATCAACTGCCTCGAGCAATGTTCAACTACATAATCGATTTGTTTAGACTTCTGTTTACGTTGGACGTATGTTATGTGAGTAAATACCACCCAAATAATGATGATACTCAGCGATCAAGTATTCAGATGAAAAAAAAAAAAATAAATAAATAAAACTTACTCCAATGATTAATAACGCACAGTATCCGATCGCCGAATAACTCTAAGACACAATATAGGAAATCTAGTAATTACCAGAGTGAACTGTCACTCAATACATAATAACGTAATAGAAGTCAATGTTATCGATTATTTTTAGAAATTGATACATTTTTATCAAACAGTGAATGACTCCCTATGCTCATAGTGTGAAAAAAAACCAACATTATTTCACTATAAAAGCCAAGATCTAGTCTAGCTCGATCGAATATTTTCCATTCACTGTTCTTCAGTGCGTTGACAATTTAGCACGATTAATGTATATATTTTTCTCAATATATATTCACCTCCGTCAATAAAAAAAATATTTGCACGGTAACTTGAGAGTCAGTCCCCAAATAAACGAATAAATAAAATACACCCTCAATGGATCTAAGCATTGGTATTTTAACGCTCTCTCCTTTGCAATTATTCTTTCATTTTGTGTGTTCACATGATTTACGGGTATTTTTCATTCATGTGTAACTTTTAAGGGTTAACGGCTCAACTTATTATTACTGATAATAACATTGTGATTCAAAACATACCTTAATAGGCAAAAAAGAAAAAAAAACAGAAACAATTATTAACAAAGTAGCCACGTTTTACGATCGCCGGTGCCAATTATCGTCCTCTCGAAATGAGAAAAAAAAAACCATTCCATCAACCAAACCCCCTTAATTAAATTGAAAAAAAAAATTTAGAAAAGGGGTTGCTCCGAACTATAAGTGAAATTCCAGGTGGTGATTGGTGATTAATAATTTCACTTAAATTATTCCTACTTAGAGACGGTTGCCAGCACCGTTTAAACCAAAGTTTGGTGTTAACCCAACAACCTGATTGATTTTAGAGTTACGAGTGAGGGGTTTGTGATGGCGCATGGCTCTTAGCGAATGCTGGTAGAGCCAACAGGTGCGACAGAAATATCTGAAGCACATGGGTTCACGACAGAAATATGGCCCCTGCTGTACATAACATCCAGAGCACACTGAATCTTCGAGGTATGGATCAATCTGTACCTTCTTGGTGAATTTAGCTGTTTTAATTTCAATAAATGCGGCAGCAACAGCTTTCCTGTAGGATCGTTTACTGCTGAAAGTTAAACGAGCTGATCCAATGGGATACTTGTGTTTATCAGTGTCAATACCACAGTAGATAACATCATCAAAGAGATCATCCATGATCCTTGCCAGCCCTTCAGCTGTCAGCATACCGTGGAGGGCACCAACAAAAACTGTTTTTCCTGGGTCCAATTTCTGAGGTGTCTTGGAAAAGTTACTGTCGCTCAATGCCCAGGGAATAACTTGAACATCTTTTCCCTTCATCCTCTTTGATGAAATTTTGTAATAGTAACTTCCACCATTGGAGAACACTTGTGTACAACATGAAAGCAAAGCTTTCACTTGTTTCTCCGATTCAAAAATAATATAAGCATATCCCTTGGGCTGAGCAGCTGACTGATCCTTACCTGGCCAATCAACTTTTATAGGACCAAACTGCTTGAAAGTGTTAATGAGAAGTGCCTCAGTGATATCCCACTGTAATCCTCCAAGGAAAACTTTTGACGAAAATCCAGTGAGTTTCTGGGAACGCATTGGTAGAGTACCACTCCAGGTGTGTGTAGCCTCGCAAAGAGCAGCAGCATTTCTGTGGAATTTCGCAGCGCGATCCAATGACAACTGCGATTCGGTGCTTGGTGGATTAAAACTCGTAACGTGATTGCCATTTGGGCACCAATGATGATGACGAATTCCATGTGGCGGTGGTGCTGCAGCGATTTTTTTCATGGGTACACGGTGCATTGCAGTTGCCCGATTGCTGTGATACCTCTCCATATCCGAATCCATTGCTGAATTTATTGAATCCGAGCACCATGAACGATTCAGTGATAAAACACTCATCATGTCAGGCAGAGAATAATCCACTGCGCTGCCTCCACTCATATCGGAATCCGCTGGGGAATTGGATCTCGAGCAATTGCAACCAATTACATGAGGATGATCCATCGTTGGACTACTGCAATCACTAATTGTCATTGTTGAATGATTAAAATCATTTAGACTTTACTATTAACATTTATTCTCATTATAATAATCAATAAATCAAATGTAATAGTACCTATAAGGCGGAGAACCTCGTATAGCACGACCACACAAATTTTGACGAACTGATGGAGACTGTGAACTCAGTTGATTATAGTACGAACGAGTTGACGATGGAGACGAATTTACTGTGCTGGATGAGTAACTGTAAGGATAGGAATAAGCACTCCCAGTAGTACTGGGACTTCCTGGTGTTGTCACCGAATTCGGTGTAGTTGGCATGTCGATACTCGACGAATACGTATGGTAGCCACTACTTTCGTCATCGAATTGCTAGAAAACAAAATTTTCGACAGGGGGGTTAATTCTCTGTAATGGTTCTATGACTTTAACGTTACTTTGAGATTAATCGCTCTATAGAATAATCCTTGGAAAATATCCAAAATAATAGAGTCGTATTTAAACTTATGTGTATGCATATGGTGATAGAGAATGAGAATGACAATGAGAAATAAAAAAAGGGAAAAGTGCCGAATGGAAAGAGGCTGTTGCTAACACTCTGGTCATAGATATAACGTTATAACCGAGTTGTTGGGCTTGTGCCGGAAAATTCTTTGGCTCAGCTGTAAACCGGGTCGCCCTTATAATGTCCCTCACATTCTACAAATTCATATTATCCACTCGACTATTGTACTCAATGCCCAATGTGGCTACTTTGGATTTTAACTTGAGGCTAAGAAAAAGTCGTATTCGCTATAAGCAAGAATAAAGTATCCTCAGGATCGATTGTACCAGAAAAAGGAAATGGCAATAAAAATTTGCGTGGACTATTCCGCCTGATGAATCACCTCATATATCATTTGTAAGAGAACTTGGAAACATATTGTAGATGCTCGTGAATTGCTTCTCAGAGGCCATAAGTATCTTCAAATGTGAGTATTTTTTTTTCCTTAACGGTAAGTAGTTGAGGACAATGCAGGCTCCATCTTTTTTGGGGTTTAAAATAAAAAATTTTGAAATTTTGAAATTTTCAACTTTGTGACACATAAGGGTGTATATACGCAGGGCCTTTTAATGTAGAGAAATTATTGAAATTATACAACCGTTTGGAATTTAATAAGCCGAAAATCGAATATCGTGTTTCAGTATCCGCTGCAACTCTACGTACTTCTAGATATTTTATAGCCTTTCTGTATATTCATATCACCGTATTCAAATGTCATGTACAGATGTGGAAAGCACAAAACATTTGCTATCTGTATTGAACGAGTGAAAACCGACTATCTTTGGATGTCATACGAGAGCCACTGATTTTTCCTGGAAACTAGTTGTTTTATTTGTTTTAGTGAAAAAAAAAAGATTGTCTCCCGTTCAATATGTTCAATAAAATAATTATGATGAATAATAGCAATCAACCTGATAATTGAATTGGTGGTACTGTCCAAAATTGGGTTCATGTTGTTGTGCATGATGTCGAAATCCTGGAGAAAAACCTGTGGACGACTGGCTGTCCATTAGCGGCCCTCTTGGCATTCCCAGTCCGAATAAATCGGAAATCGACATGTTCCCTGTGAAAACGATTCGATTATGATATTTTAAATGAGAGAAAGATAGTCTGGAAATTCTTGTGAAAAATATAATCGCAGTGTGTAAGATAAACAAGTGACTGTTGAAAAATATGAACAAAAGTATGACGATAACACTTGGGGAAAATATTTGCTGTAATATATAGAAACGGAGGGATTTCAAATTTCAGCATAATATTATAACTAAATTAATAAACGAGAAAAGAAGTATGCATTATATGAATTCTATTACCATCCAAGTGCCCCTCTTTGATTGTTTCAGGCCTGTATCCTGAAAGTGAATCCTGTGAGTGTGCTTGATAGTAGGATGCAGGTGTCGGTATTGGGGGTGGTGGGAGATCGAGCAACAGGTTACTCAGTGATTTTTCGAATTGATGGAGAGGCTCTCGTGAAATCTGCTGTTGCTTTTGCTGATGTTGCTCTCTTTTCATCATGGTATCCCTCTGTTCCATTTGCATTGGCATGCTATGCTGGTTCTGGGAATGTTTCATGGTCTCATCATTCGATACCTCTAATGGATTTCCATTTTCTCCTTCAAACGACATGGCCAACTGGAAAAACAAGAAATTCATTCAAATTATTTATATATTTATGAATGATGCGTTAATTAGCAATGGTCTGTCTTCCATAACATATTGGATTGAATTGGTAGAATGAATGAAGGAAATTTTGACGAACCGACTTATTTTGTGTAGAGAATAATAATGAAACTGGTGTATCGTTCATTACACTTGAACTGCGTATTGTCGTATGATGGGGTTTACAAGTTTATCACACAAAGAGCCCAATCGTAGTGCCAATGAAAACAAATTTTTCGATGGATTAAGAGATGAGGGGTGAGAGGTGAGGGATGAGGAAAAAGAAAGGCGAACAAAGAGCTAGAGCAGAAAAGCCAAATCCCAAGTTCTTGGAATCAAGAGGAGAAAAACTCGTAAGTGTACATCTACTCAGTGTGCAGGTACAAAAGAATTACCTTCAATTAATTACAATCCATCCTCACCAATTCTCGAAATATTACTCTGTAGAATCAACAAAACAAATGAAGCAGCTACCTCTCCCCCCAATAAAATAAAGATAGATGATGTCGATCCGAATACGCAATGGCAAATTAATCGAAAAAATATTTGATTAAAACATACTAATTGAAGCATTAGATTGTCAATTGTCAATAATACGATGAAAGAAGCGACTGATATATCGATATACGAAATAGCAATAATATTTAATATGAAGAAAATCAATGAATGAGGTGAAAATGTATGTTGAAGGTCAGTTTCTGAACACGTGGTTGCCGGCATTGTTTCACGGTGGCCAACGTCGGAACGGTTTGTTTACAAAGGATATTCGGTGAGTTCACGCGCTCTCAGACGGCTACTCTTTTCTCGGAAATCACCAGAACAAGAACACAATTCCGCTCTATCAAGATTAATCATGAAAAACAAATTTTCAAATCAAAATTCACTGGTCTTTGCTAGTTTCAATTGAATCGATAAATCATCATCTGAATATCTACCACTGAAACCTGAGTGTCGAATTAATTATTACCTGTTGCAGAAGGGACGGCATCGAACTGCTTTTCTCTCTCGCCAATTTATGTTACGCACTACTTTGTTACTTTTTATTCATTTCCTCACAATTTTCAATAATAAATAAATGAAAAAAGAAAAATAATGAGAAAAAAAAACAATTTTTTACTGTGGAATAAATAAATGAATCAACAAGTTTTTTTTATTTAAAATTTTGTAGTTTGACGAGTATTTTATGATTTTTTATTGAGTCGTGATTTATTTAATTTTTTGGATTTCTATGAGAATATTGTACTCGTATTGTTTGCCCTCTAAAAATGTTTTTACTCCGGCTGTCTTAATTGAGAGTAATTTGTAAATCTTTATAGAAATCCTAGATTAGTAAACACCAGCCATGATTCTCAATCACTAGCCACACTCGGTGGCACTCGGCAAACTGAATGTTAGAGCTTGGAGTGAGTATTATTTAATTGAATATCGTATTCTCTCAGTCTCCCCAACTCATATTCCCTCTTTCCCTCCTTGTGGCTGAATCGCATGCGCGTAGATCAGAAACCGCCCCCTTAAAATTTCTCTCTCTCATCATCATCATCATCATCACTGAAACTCAAATGAAAAAGGAGAGAAAAAAATAGGATTCATTCAGTTTAGACGAAAAAATGAAGGCGTTTTATTAATTTTAATTATACTCTATGTGAGCTGTCGAAGAATCCAACATCTCAACTTCCGAACTCATATCTCCAGTGGAATAATTCACAACTTCTCGAGATCTGCTTTCATTTTTATCAGACGTATTCTCATCATTTTTCCCCGAGTCTTCACCCCAACTGGAGAACAAATTAACTCGTAATTTGTTAATTTCTTGATCCTGAGCTCCAGCAGGTCCCGCCGCCTGATTATCCGAACATTCAGAAGGTTGCGAGAACGATCGCGCGTCCGAGAATTTATACTTTGGCATTTCGGTTGGGGCATCTGGAAAGAGACATGCGAATTTTTATCATATATAAAGTTTCATACTTGAATAACCTTCAGTAGATAATAATTTTTTTTTTTAACCGAGATAAGGTGGGCTCTCATCAATGAGTTGTTCCATAACATAGCCCAGCATTGTTGTGGTAAATGTATCATCTCTCCTGAGTCCGAGGGCTCGATGAAATGCATCTACTGCCTCCTGAGTATTGCCGATTAGTGCGTGAATAAAGCCAATTGACGAGTAGGTTGATGGATTTAATGGATTCAGCACTAATGCCTGATTATTATAAATAAATAAAAAACGGATTGAAAGACATTACAGGGGTGAATTGTCAGTACTTTTGAGGACTGTTAATGGTCATCACCTGCTGATGGTAGTCCAGAGCCTCCTCGTATTTCTTGAGCTTTCTACATGTATGCCCCAAGTTGTTAAGTAATGCCTCCCATTTACTAGGCAGAATAACATCCTTCAGTCCATTTTGAATTCTTCTCATTGCCTCTTTGAATTGTTTTTCTGTCGTTTTATAACTGTAATGAAGAACATAAATTTATCATTAGATGGTTCATTAATATAATAAGCTTTTAAGGACTTACTCCATATTGTAGAAAGATATCACTCCAGTCTCATGGATGACAAAAGGATCGTTGGGTGCAATAGTTTGTGCCTGCTGGAAGAATTTGTCAGCCAATTTAAGATTATTCGTTAGGCCACACTCCAGGCCTATGTATAAAAGTGGTAAGTGACATCCTTTCATTAATTGTGAGGCTTTGAAATAAGCAGCCATTGCTTGATCATGTTCATTTTCAACAGCAAAGGAATGTCCATAAGCTAGCCAGGCTGGACCAAATAACCGATCAAGAGCTGTTGCTTTTGCCAAATATCTTCGTGCATGGTCACTTTTACCTGAAAATAATTCCTATTTTGCTAAATTTCCTGTGAGGTAAATTCCAAATTTTTCACTTACCTATACCAAAATAGTAACAACCAACAGCAAACCACGCTAGAGCCATGTCAGGATACAGATCAACGAGTTTATGTGCCAGATAAAATAATGTTGTGGTCTTTTTTAATTCTACTAGACATGCTATGTGCACTGGTAAACAAGAGCTATGGTACGGATCTTTTTTCAGAATCTTTTCCGTAAGATTGAAGCACTGATGGTAATCACAATTGTAATACAGTCGTTCGGCTTTAGCTACTTGCATGTCCAGGTTCTCCTGGAATTTGTCGGTGATGAGGATTCCTTTGACATTGCAGGACGTTAATGACACGTCCTCTGTAGGCTCCTGATATTTTTTCAATTTACTCTCATAAAGTAATTTCAGTAGTTCCCGATCTGCCTCTGAGCATTGCTCATTGAATGGCAGAGATTCTAGTAATTCTCTCTCTAACAAAAAATTGAAATGATAAAAGTTTTCATAAAAATACACAATGATTTATTAATATTTAATTACCTTCAGCAGCAGAAAGCATTTGATTCTGCACTAGAGCCTCAAACGCTTGATAAGAATAAACATCAGAGTGTAGTGCCTGTTTATAATAATCCGTGGCGACTGTCCTATTATCAGTTGCCTCATAAACTCTGCCCTTTACGTACAGAATTGCGCTTTGTACCTGTATGAATAACAATTCATTACTTGAACAGGATAATTTTTACAAATTGCGTTAATGAAAAAAAAATTGCTTACATTCTTTGGCGCATCTTGAAGAATATTAGTTTGAGCCATGAAACTCACTCCAGACTGCGATATGTTGGTGCAAATTTCCAATTCATTCATAACTTGTAAAGCTTCACTAAATTCCTTAGCTTCTAGTAAACTTCGAACTGTTAAATAGTGACACATAAGATCGGTCTGGAAAAAAATGGAAAAATTGATTTTTTGGAAAAAAAATTATTGATGCGTAATCATAATGTTTTTACCTTCTCCAAGCCTCGACTTCTGATGAGATGAGCAGCCCGATGATACTGTTTCATCAAATACATGCACTGAGCTAAAGTGCAAACATCTTTTGGATCATCATTGCTCAATGAAAGAACTTTATCAGCCCAGAAAAGAGCTGCACTGTAAAGATGCTAAAAAAAAAATAATCAAATAACAAAGAATTTGCCAAAACCAACAATAAAATCAAATGTACCAGGTCGACGTAGGATTTCACGAGTTTTCTATAGGTATTTAAATGGATGCTCTTGTCTTCATTGAAATTCTGCATTTCATTGAAATCATTATCTCCTTCGTGTCTTGACATTCTTATTATAAAAATTACATTTATTTATGTATAAGTGAGAATGAGATGACAGCAACAAAGGAAGGTTATGTTTTCCTCCCGGCTTTCAACTTCAACGAGATACTGCAAGTTTCCAACAAAAAGGCTGTACACAATGTGCGTCAAAGAGGATTGACTAAAGTAGAGGCTCAGTTCTGGGGGTTTGAGTGACCCCAAGAGATGGAGGGCGCAACATGCAATGCTGGGGTGGTTTTTTTTTTATTAAACAAGTTTTTAATGCAATGCTGGGGTGTCCATCAAGTCGACGGGGTGAATTTTATTTTCTGCGGTACGAATGCTTTTTGTTTTTCATTTGTTTAACTGAAATTTAGCCGACTGTAGCACGTACGGAAGGGGGAAACCACATCTTGTGGAATTTCAAATAAAAAAAATATTCAATGCATTGAAGATATACCACTAATGAAATTATATTTTTAAAGGAGCGCGTTGTCCTAGCGGGAACGTGCCCGACTGGCACGCCAGCGGCCCGGGTTCAATCCCGGCATTATTCATTTTTTTTTTCAAAATAATTCCAATTTTTTTTTTTTGTTAATTGCAAATCAATTGAAATATCGTTTAAAAACTGAATATTTGAAAATCGAGAAGATATCCAGTGAAATTGAACAATTTGACATTTTTAAAAACGAAACTTTTGCAATATATATACTCCTAATGAAATTTTATTATTGCAATAGTGCGTTATCCTAACGGTAACGTGCTCGGCTACCACGCCGACGGCCACGGTTCGATCCCGCGTCATTAATTTTTTTTTTTTTAATTATTTCAATTTTTTCTTTTGTAACTGACTAATAAATCGAAATATTGGTTAAAAACTGAATAGCTCCTCGATTGTCATGTTCCCCTGATACTTTTACAAAAATTTCGAATTTTTCATTTGCAGTGAAAATTTCAGTGAATAGCTCCTTGATTGTCATGTTCCCCTGATACTTTTACAAAAATTCCGAATTTTTCCTTCAGTGAAAATTTCAGTGAATAGCTCTTCGATTGCCATGCTCTCCTGATACTTTGACAAAAATTTCGAATTTTTCACTTTCAGTGAAAATTTCAGTGAAGAGCTCCTCGATTGTCATGTTCCCCTGATACTTTTTCTAAAATTTCGAATTTTTCACTTTCAGTGAAAATTTCAGTGAATAGCTCCTCGATGTTCATGTTATCCTGATACTTTTT